CCAACAAGCATAATCAATTTGGGCGTTTGATGGAAGTAGTTCGAGACGCTGATCCAGCCACCCAACATAAGACTTTCTTAACCTATTGGCTAAACAAGTATGTTTTCTATTCTCGTGCTTTACAGATATTCATGAATTTTTATCATCTAGCTTGTGTTTTAGCCACTGGCCAGAAAGTAGATTAAGCCTCTGCTTTGTTAGGTAGCTTTTATAGAAGCATGTTTGAATTGAGACATCATCCGACACAGACTCTAGGTGGCCCTCTCTGGCTATTAGTCTTATGGCTATAAATGTACTTTCCTGCATTTCGGCATGGGTATACAGATATCGCTGCTCCCACTCAGCCTCTGTGTAGAAATATAACTAGCTTAGAAGAGAATAAATTACCTGTTGATGATGTCATAGCCATTCTGTTAGAAGTTGAACCCGACATCTCTGTTGTCCATCGTCTCCTTGATAATGAATGCTACCACCCATGCTTTCGCCTGGAATTTGAAGCGGCGGCCAAATTCGGCCACTGGGGCGATTCTGCCACTACCGGAATGAGGGCTATATGGGGATACTTCTTGGCCACCTGGGACTTACATTATGGATTTTGGGCCCAAGAAGCCACCGGAAAGACGAAAGCCATGATGACTCTTGCTGAATTTTACCTAGCAAACATGGTTGCCCCTTAATTTGGCCTAACGCAGATCATCCCAAGCTTTGAGTTCATCTGTTGGAATAACTGGAGGGTTGGCTGATTCCGCATTCCTGAATCGGTGCTTGCTGGACGCATCAACCTGATGAATGCCGGATATCACCATTGTGCCATTCACGCCCAGGCCTGTGTGTTCTATTGCTTTTAGACAATGGTGGCAGCACCTATCCAATTGTTATTCGTGGATCGGCGGATGACCTTTGGTGACAGCTTGCTGTAACCGTGCTGCTATACCTATAATGTCCAGGAGCATAGTCCCTTTAACAGATGATGGTACTTCCATTGGTTATCCTTGTAAAATTATGCCAATTTATTCTTGTTGTATCTTTCTAATCTTTGCCATGAATATTTTAGACTTGGTGAAAGACAGGGCTTACAATAAGAATTAGATTCCTACCTCTAAACCTTCCTCTGGACCTGTTAGACAATCTTTAAGGATATCGACTAGGCCTCCCGGCATCAAATATGCTGCCGTCAAACAATTACATCCCTTTGACAAAAACTTATTCTGTTTCTTTTCCATTTCTTTCAGTTCTTTACTAACATTGCCTACATCTCAGCCCATACAAGGCAAAACTCCTGCTGATTAAGATGTACAATTCCTAGAGGAAGAACAAGAAAAAGAAGAAGAAGCAATAAACCCTGGCAACGAGGGAATCATCGAATCAGAGGAAGAAGAGGAGGAAGAAGAAGTTCCTCTACTCAGGAAGCGCCGATCAGAACAAGGTTCTGCTCCTGAAATTCAGAAAAAAAAAAAAAACAGAAAACAAATACTGGTCCCACCGTTCATCAAGCTACTCCTCCACCAGTTACTCTAGTTCAATCAGCATCTACCAACCAAACTGGGTCACCCAGTTCCAACCTTCTTTCTTCCGCAGCACTTTGCACCAGGTTGGAAAGTTTCAGGACAGTTACCCCCCGAGTCTCAGTCAGCCCCCTTGCAGATGCATCTGTAGTTAACCTGACCAAAAAGATAGTCAGCACCCCTGTTGGTCAAGTCTTCACTTCTAAATCTGGGCACATTAAAAAAGATCTTGAAACCCTTTTGAATGGAAGTATGAATAGCACCACTGCCACAATTCTAGGTGATTTCTTTGCTAAGTTCGCCGATCTACAAAAAGACTATGCTCCAAATCTTGCCATCCAGAAGAACTTTCCTGTCTAGAGGCAAACCTGACCAAAAGTCAGGATCAGGTTGACACTTTAGCTCGGCAGATGGAGCCGATTGAGAAGAGTTATCTGATTTAGAGATGCACCTCCAAGACATCAAAGCTCAAATCACGACCAAGACCCAAGAGCTGGCTTCTTTGTCAGACCAAACTGCTGCAGCTCTGAACCTAGTTGAAGAATGGCATCATCAAGCTGAAACTCTGATAGGTCTTGAAGTTTCATGTTATTTATGGGTATTTGTATAGCATTTTGGATTAGATTGTGCACTTATGTTATGTATTTTGATGATTTATTTCTTAGAAGTGATTGGAGATGAGATGGAGCAAAATGTTACATAAACACGCATTTTTGGAGCATTTTGACAAGGAAGCACAAGAAGAGAGCAATGACATCACATTCTCATGTGGGCACACAAATCTTAGTCAAAAGTTGAGCATAAGAGAAGAAATTCCAGCATTGATGCTGCATTCCTGTTTGGCCAAACCGAAGTAGGGAGTAAATTACAAAATTAAACAAGTTTAGGAGCAAAATTATAAAAAGACAAAACTTTAGGGACCCAATTGCAAATTTCGGGATTCTTTGTTTATCTCCAGCGGCTGACCTACTTGTTCCCATATAAATTGATTTTATTTTTTTCTTTTGGGGGAAGGGGGCTGAACGTGAGAAGAAGAAGAGGAGGCTAGAGTGGTCCTAAGCTGCCAATCTAGCCCTTTTGGGCGTTATTCTTCTCCATTCTCCATAGTTTTGTTTCAGTAAGGCTTTATTATGTATAACTAAATTACTTTTCCAGTTGAAAGATATTGAAACCTTGGTTCTTAATAGTTGTGAGATCTAAATTTTTTTCATTTCTCAATTCTTAATAGTTGAAAGTATTCGCTTTGAACAAGCTGGTGCCAAGCTGATGAAAATCCACTCAGCATGGGGAAAGGTGGTGAATGTTCAGAAGCAACTGTTGATTGACATCGATGAAGGTCCAATTCCAGAACACTCGGGTGAATCAAAGGGTGAGTTTTTTTTATCCTTTCTTGAACAAGTAATCCTACCATCAGCCCCTGCGTGGGCTTTAGAACAATTTCATTTTGAATTTGCTGCCCAGCGTGCATTTTGTTGGGAATACTTTATTTCTTTTTTGTTGATGATGATTTTTTTATTCTTCTTTGAATAAATCTACTCTTTTATGCATATCTCTGTTCGCTAATTTTTTAGCTAACTATTGATTTGTTGAACTTAGCTGATCCTATGTTGATGCATGATACTTCTTTAGGAAAATGACAAGCCGTCATCACACTAGTCAAATATTAATTACCTACTTAATACAATTACTAGTAGTAAAGTAGCAAGAATGGTCGATCCCAAAGAGAAGGATACCAAGTACCAGGTTAAAATTATTTCTTATTATTATTTTAGATTAACAATTTATCAATTTTAAACTATTCTAAACCTAAAACTAACAATTGCAATTATTTAAAGATATAAATAAGTAAAAGAAAAACCTAGGGCAAAGGGTTCACCAACTGACTGTTCAGTTTAACTCAACCTATAGATATGTAACTTTGGACTTTCATTAATCTCACAACGATTCACCTATTTAAGAACTATTCATTGTCGTGATATAATTCTCTTACTCAAACTAATCCTATGACTACTGTCGTGACTATAGGATTAATTAGAGTACATTAAGAACCCTAGAATCTATTGCTGCAAAGACGGTGTTCCTACTTTCATGGCCCACTATCTAAGTTTAATATTCCCATGAACTAGTGCTAATCTTCAACTGTCATTCCTTCAGTTAAACACCTTTAAAGCATGCAAGTGGTGACCAAATACTCACATGGATAAAAACAAGAATATTAAATATCAACTAATGAAAAAGTCACAATCATGAATTAAATTAAATTAAATAGTACGGCAGCTACATCCAAAACCCTAGATTAAATAATTTAGCTACACATCATCTCAAAAATAAATAAAACAATGAAACCCGAGAGAAAGTCAGCCGAAAGTTGAGTCTGAGTTTGATGCGTTGCTTCTTGCTTCCTCTGATGATGCATGCAGATTAATGGTGATGATGGATGATGGAGGCATGGATATTGGTGCGTGGAGAGGTGATGGGGAGTTGATGATGATGATTAAGGTGATGATGGTGGGATGAGATGGTGCTGCGGGCTAGTGTGTGTGGTGATGCGGTGCTGGAGCGGCGGTGCGGGAGAGATGGAGACAAAAATGATGGTTGGCGGAGGTTGATGGTGATGGACGGTCAAGTTCTCTGTCTCCAAAAATAAAACCCTAGTCCTCTTTTTATAGGCTTTTCTCAAACCCTATTTTTTCAGGAATAAGAAAGTTACTTTTTTTCCAAGCCAATTTAAATTAAAACTCCTCCAACTCTTCAAGTGCTTCAATTTCTTCCTTGTCAATTTAACAAATCTTCAATTCTCCCTTTGAGTTGCTTTTTTTATCTTCATTTTAGCCAAAAATTTCAACAATTCCTCCATTTGAGTACAAAACCTACAAATAAAGATAAAATCATATAAATAGCATATTTGTACTCAAAATATATTGCAAAAATCACAAATTAGGGATATAATAAATAGGTAAAATATAAGCATATCAAATACCCCCAAACTTGAATTATTGCTTGTCCTCAAGCATTTCCAAAGATTAAAACAAATAAAAACAAGTAATTATTTAATTTTGGCGGCCTCAGAGATTTAATATCATATTACACAAAGACCTCGACTACCTCTAGTATGTACTAGCTAACAAAATGCAAACCATATGCACTTTTAGCCCCCATGCTTGTGTGTGTGTGATTCGTTTCTTAGGGACATCACTTTACATTTAACATAGAAAACAAAAGCTCTGCTGCCAATTTACTTTAACAACAGACTCACATTTCATACCATATTTCGATGCAATGGACCGCCAAACATACTATGAAGTAGAAGGACTTATCTCACAGACAACCTATTCCCCCTCGTAACCCATTCTTCGATCCATGCGGCTTTTCTTTAGGACTCTTTCCAACTCAGGCCACTACCCAGAGCATTTTTCCACTCCTATACATAGTGGCTCAACAACTTAGGGCAGTCTATATATCTATTTTTCCTCACCGGGCCTGAGGACTCTCCGCTCAGGTTGCCAATTCCTCACCTCTCAATGGGCTAGCATCAACATTGAATGCTCTTCCTTTCTCCCTCATTAAAATTAACCTAACCTCAGAAGCATCCGCCAACACCCCTCCCCCAAACTTACTTAACACAAAATGTCAAAGCAATAAGGTTTTTTAAGGCTGATATTGGGTTAATGTCTTGCTTTTCCTTCACAACATGATGGGTTCCACATACAAATCATATAAGTATGAGTGAATCAAACACAACTTTTCATGGCATGTCTACATCAAACTTATGCAACTATATCTCACTTTAGGCTTATCCCACAGTCACAACTAAGTGCATAAAAAGCAGGTTATTCAAAGCAACATATAGAAATACGTAAGTTAAACAATACAATTCAAAATAGTCTAATTCTTACATGTTATAGATAATTAAACCATCTTCATCCTAGGCCTTTTTGGATTTTTCAATTTTTTCAATTTTTATGGGTTTTTTTATTATTATTTTTTTTTTTCAAACAAGAAAACACAATACAAAACACAAATATTCCTCTCCCCCACACTTAAAGCATACATTGCCCTCAATGTATAAAACACAAAAGACATGACAACCAAGTGAAAAGAAAAGAAAAGACATAAACAAAAAGAATGAACAGAAACGACACAACCTTGGGAATGTGAAGCGGAGGACACAACCTTGGACCGGAATTGTTGAATAAACTGTTGCAACTGCCATTCAAACACACGACCAACTTTTTCAAAATTTTGGATGTTTCATTTTCAGCGCCATTGGACACCAGAGTTTCGCCATTTTAACAAACCTAATTACAAACTAAAATAAATTAGAAAAACAAACCTAAAAAACAGGTAATTAAGAAAAGCCACGAAAATCCAGAAATCAAAGATCTCCAGATAATCAGGAAAAAAAACTTAACCACCAACTTATTTGCAAATTTAAGAAAATAAAATAAAGCAAATTAAAACGTGGGTTGCCTCCCAATAAGCGTTTTGTTATAGTCTTTAGCCGAACTCCATGGCCAATCAATCAGAGTACCCATCTTGATACCAGAAAAAACCATGTTCGGCAGCAACAATGAATCTCTTGTAGTAGTTCTCCTTTCCATGAGAAAATATAAACTTACACTCCAACACTACAACATCCTCTTTCTCAAATTTAATCTTGTACCATTGATCCTCTTCTTGGTCTTTCATTGAACCATTTTTCACATCATCCTCAAAATCTCTTATACTAGGGACAACCTCACCACTTGTGTCTACTTCAAATCCTTCTTTTGAAACTATAGGAATGTTATTCTCATCAAAATCAACTTGATCCACATTTTTGTCACCAACTCTCAGAATGAGCGAATCATGCTTAACTACTATGTATATACCAGAAGAATCAGGAGAACTTGGAATATCTGGACTGTTAATCTCTTTGGTCTCTTCTAATTCTTCACATTCAAGGTCAGTTTTCGAGATGGTGGCTGGGGAGACAGGACAATGAATTATGTTCAGAAATCTTCTCATTCTTATTCAATTTAAGCAAATTTCATATAGGATCATATTCCGGCAACCCCACACTCAACCTATATTGATTGACCTCTTCAGTAAGTTGTTGGCCTTTTTCACTTTGCAATTCTCGAAGAGCTCCCTCTCTAACACTAAGTTGAGGTTGAGCAGGAGGCTGCTGATATGAAGATCCTAACTGTCTCAAAGTGGGTTGACAAGGTGATGACTGTAAGGCTGCTAGCTCTCTGAGAGTAGGTTGACGAGCTGCTAACTCTTTTAGAGTGGGTTGAGGAGGTGGTGGTTGATATACTGATGCATTTGAGTGGTAACAATCCTCTTGAGAGAAATATGAAGCATTTTTTTTATCGATGCCATCCAGTAATTTTTCAATTCTCTCCAAACATGACAACATCTTAAGACTCATATGGGGACTCTCAAAACCAGAATTGTATCCTGCATCACATGAATACCCTTGATAATCACAACCATAGTAAGGATCATAAGCCAAATTGTTCCAAGAGTACGAATCTTCTTGATATGTAGGATAGTCTCCATATTCAGAATTATAACTATAATACGGAGCATCTCCATATCCACAGTTATAATTCTCCATGATAACTTCAAAATCCTACAAAAATATTGACACAATAAAGAAAGGAGAATCAAATTAAAAATAAAAATAAAATAAAATAAAATAAAAATTAATAAAACAAAGAAAAATATATACAAATCTAAATTAATAAAAGAAATAATCTAGTTTTGATATTGGTTAGCAGCGCCAAATTTGACAAATTACCCTGTTAACGATTTATTGTTTTACCCATAGAAAAGGAAAACAACATTTATTGTTTTAGCATGGACTTCCCGTGTTAACGATTTAAGCCTGTAAACCCCTTTGCCTAAACTCTGATGTATGATAAATGGACCTTCCCATGTGTGTAACATTTACCTAAATCATGATCCTTGTGTCCAATCGGCAAGACTGCTTTCCAAACTTTGTCCCCATTTCGAACACTTTCTGTCTTGTATTCCTTTGATACTGTTTGAACACTCTTTCCTTCTACAACTGAATCTATTGAACAACCTGTTTCCTTGTTTCCACTATCTTCTCATGTTGTTCATGCATCACCAACCGGTATTCCTCTGAATTGATGGGAAATTGCTCAGCTACTCTCACCGATTTAACCAATTGCTCAACTGGTAACACTGCATCTTTCTCATAAACCAATTCTTAAGGAGTAGTTCCAGTCTCCCCTCGCTTAGTTGTCCGATAAGCGCACAAAGCTTGGGGAACTAATTCATGCCAATTTCTTGGATTTTCATCTATGGAATTCTGCACAATTCCCTTAAGAATCTTATTCGATGCTTCAACTTGTCCATTTCCTTGTGCAATATATGGACACGAATGTGTAAAAGCGAAACCAATTTCCTTAGCAAACTCTAGAGCCCATCCGCCGTGCTTTTTTTTTTTTGGGAGGATTCTTTAGGAGGGGGTGTAGCCTCTTATTTGCTCTCTTCCTCGCTTTCTTCGTCGCTCTCTTCCTCATCTTGTCCTTCTTCCTTGTCGATTATCATAGGGTCACAATATGGAACAATTCCATGCTTGATTGGCAATAGTCGGCTTGTAAGGGACGAGGCGAGCGTTTTTTTCTTCCACCTCCAATGTTCTTTTTAGGACCTTTCTTTTGAAGGGGTTGCGGCTGCTGGGATAGAGTCGGTTGAGTTTCTACAAGTCTCTGACTAGAAACCGTGTTCAAAGTGACAGGACCAATAGTCAAGGCAGTGAAAATTATTGAGTACCTCCTCAATCATTGCATTAAGGGCACGGTCTCTGGTCGGGTACTTGGTACGATACTTATCAACAGTGTGATAAATATCGTTGAGGGTGTCGGCCTACAAAAATGAAATTGTAATATAAAATTTTTAGTTATTTGGTTATTAGTAATAGAAATAAATATAAGTATTTAATAAGTAAAATTAATTGAAATGCTTATATATAAAATTTCACGTGCTGAAGATGGTTGATAGCCCTGCGTCCCGTACCCGTATTTCTCCGGATCACTGATGAGTATCATAGTTCGCCTATGAAACCAAGGGAGGTAATCAGTGACAGCTTGAGGCTGTAGGCCCTCGGTTACTTCTTCACCTTCTACCAAATTAGACATCCTATTATCCCAATGTGGGTTGACATCATCATGAACGGTCTTCCATCCCTTGCCTGAGTTCCCAGTCCCCTTATTTTCTTTGTGTATAGCCCTCCAAACATTAATGTTGCGACTGATCAATGGGTTCTCAGGCTGAGTTTGCCAACAATCAAACTGACGCAAAACCCGGTTGGGCTCATGAGGTTCCCTAATGGATTGGAAGAAAATCCAACTCCTCATTTTCCAAACATGACTACCTCGCTTACAGAAAGCAGGAAGCTTCTCGAGGAAAGGAGTGTAAGGCAGCCACAGAAACTGCATAAAATGAAAAACAACAAGCAGGGTTAGTTTAGAAAAAATAACAACAAAAAAAATAAATAAAAAATTAATACACGACAATGAGAAAAAAATACTTACATCACCATTCCTTATAAGAGCTAATTGATCCCTGATTGAAGGTAAACAGCCCTTGGGGACATTTGCATAAGAGAGCGGGCAATTCCACCTATTTAGGCACAAGATACATGTAGTTGTGAGGAAATAGAAAAAAAAATTAAATAAAAAGTTAAATACAAGAAATTTTCATGTGAAAATGCTTTACCTATGAGCTAATGGCGCTTCTGAATCCATATTAGGATCAGGAGGCACGATGTTCCTGATGGGTTGAATCCTTGGAATTCGCTCCCAAGCCCAAACCTGTAACAGTTAACGACGACATTAAATTTAACAATAAAAATCGCTAAAAAAATCAAAATCAAAATCAAAATACCAAAGCATACCTGCACCAATAAATTGCAGCTACTCACGTCATTATGGCCGAATTGACATGCATTACACAGGCCATTATACGAAAACCCCAAGACTGCTGAACCCCAACTAAGCTGACCACGTGACTCTAAATCCTCAAGGTGTATCAAATAGCATAGAGGTATCTTGTCTCCGCTTTTATCCGCAAACAAGAAGGAAGCCAATAAATATAGAATAAAAGCCTGAGCCCTCTTGTCGTAAGCTTCATCATCATCAGGTAAGTCTGTTGGAAGTTTGCGTTTTAGCTCGACTTCAAGGGGTTCTGCATATATCTTATAACCAATGAAATCGGCATCGCTAGGAGCGAAACCACACAATTTGTTACAATATTCAATCCATTGAGCCCTTTCAAAATCGATTGTTCTCCCCAAGACGGTGGGACTATCCACGTGGAGCCCAAACAACACCTCAACATTCTGGAGGGTGATTGTGGCCTCGCCAACATAGAAGTGGAACGTGTGGGTCTCAGGAAGCCACCGTTCCACCAAGGCAGTTATTACTCCATGGTCAAGGGTAATTTTCCCAACTTTCAAGATCCCCCCAAAACCGGCTCAAGTAATCCTATCTATTACAGGTTTAGGGGCAACTTTTAAAACCTCCCTGATCGATGTCAAACCAACAAAAATAAAAGATTCTACCCCTAACAAATTTAGTAGTATAGCAATGAGTAGAGTCGTCTCCTTAGGGAGCAAGGAAGTGAAAGTATTTCTAATCAAAAGCAAAGTAACTAAATGGGAGAGATTTTGGATTTGTAACTAATGAATAACAAAAATAATTTGCAAGCAATAAAAGATACTTTTGGAAAATCATTAGTAAGAGCAACTCTAGTCAAAGGAATAATTTCCACCTTGATGTATCCAACTGATCATTGATGCAAAGATTAACTCAACAAATGATGAATATATTAGTTATCGTTGTTGGAACCTCCTAACAACTCAGTCTTTTTATTTAACTACCAGTGACTAAGAAACCTTCATTAATCACTCTATAGCCAAAAAACACTACCTGGAATCTCCTAGGATTTAGTTTTTGACAAGCAAAGACCCAATTCAATTTCTAACAAACAAACCTTGTTTCATTAAAAATTGATTATTTATTCTCACAACACAAGTAACTTACCAAGTAATTATTTGCATTGTCTCTTCTAAGGAACAAACAAACCTTGTTGTTCAATAAATTAGATTATCTAGGAGAATTGAATGCTACCAGCTATTCAAATAATGCCAAATAATCATCAGTACACATCAAAGAGAATAAATAAATACTCAAAATTCGTTGGTGAAAAGTAAACAGTTAGATCTCACAATTAAATAACATCAAGACTTCAATAAAATCCTTTAACTAGAAAAAAGGTTTAGTTGCTAATCATGGTGAAATCAACAACACAAGAATTGATGTTTGACATTACAGAGCTAAAACTGACTAAAACGAAGAGAAATCCTTGTCCTGAGCCCCAGCCGTCGCTCCCCGTGTTGTGCCTCTTCTCCTCCCTTTCTTAATAATAAGAAAAAGACTATTTATATGCAAATTTAGGGCATCCCCATGTTCAGCCCGTTCAGAAATAGCAGCAACCAATTAGAGTTTTCAGAATTTGCAAATTGGCCCCTAAAGTTTGCCAAAATTACAAATTAACCCCAAAACTTTAGAAATTTTACACTTTAGTCCCTGTTTCAGCATGCCCACATGGGAATACAACGTTGTTTCTGGACTTTCCTGCTTCCTTCAATTATTTTAGCATAGATTTTGTGTGCCCACGCGGGAATCAACCATTCTTCTCTAACTTAAAACTTGATTCAATAAAACCTTCAAAATCTCTTCAAAATCAACATTTTTCTTCTTTTTGTTCCAAATCCTTCCTATGATCAAATTAAGAATCAAAGCACTAATATTAGCATAGATAATATTCAAAACAACACATAAACCACCACAAATATTATGCTAATATTAACATTATCAACTCCCCCACACTTAGATTTTGCTTGTCCTCAAGCAAACTTAAAAAGAATAACTTTTAACTCAACTCGTAACCCACTACTTTGAACCACAAAATTTGGAAATCATTTAAAACACAATCTCATCTACCATGTCACACATGAATCATAAACTTAATCAATTAGGCAATCAAACATAAGCTCCTCTAATACTATGCATAGTCAACAAGATAGTTGCTTCATCCCTAAACTCCATCAATGATTGGAACAAAATCACCTCACCAGTAAGTTTCCTCATTTTCTTTCTTCTTTTCTCTCAAGTGTAGCGTATCAAACAATTCACACAAATCAATATCTAGAAGAATACACAAGAATTTGAAAAGGCGTCACATCATCATACACCAAGCAAATAAACTTACCAATAAAGGTCTTTACATAGGGTTGTAATGGGGCTTTAGGTAAGGAAACAGGTGGAAAAATATGGATGTAGGCTTATTTTGTCAAGATAGAACAAGTATACTTAAACTCTACCATCTTACGAGATATCCCATATAATGGCATTGCTCATCCTCACACCTCAAACTTTACATATTCAAACTTTAAGTGTGCTTTGCATAAGAACTTGCAGTAAACTTCTCATATTACATTTACAAACCTATGGCATCTCAAAGATATAATTAAGAACTTTCCATGCTCTTAAACAAGTAGGAAGTAGGGATTCATGCGATTTTTTTTTTCCTCTTTTTTTTCCGGGTATTTTTCCCCCCTTTTTTTTTTGCATTTTACTCTTCTTTTTTTCGTCGCACGCCCTATATTACACCAAATGCATAACTTAAATTAAGAACACATGCCACTATAATGTCCAACTCTTACCACAAACCCAGTTTAAGCAGCCTAATCCAAAGCTTGACAAAAGGGTAAAGGATAAAAACAAATGCTAATGGTTTAATGTATCTGGAGTTAAAAAAAACGATCAAGGCTTGAATGGTTCACTAGGGGTAAACATAAATGGGTAGGCTTTTTAAGCTAACTTGGCTAAATCCTAGTCCCTTTATTCTTGTGGCAAGCCATCTACAAGAGCACAGATGTGTCCTACCTCGGCAAATTCAAGATTAATCCATATTAGATATGATATACTTCCCACATAAAAATGTTGAGCATTCAAATACACTAACTCTATTTGTTCAGAAAGGCTCAGATCACTCAATTTAAAGTAACTTATTTCTGATAATATTCCAATCATTAACTTCAACACTTAAATTCACAACATATCTGAATAGTACATAGCAAAGAAAAATTTATGTTTTTCATGCTTCACTTTTCAACCTATGATGATTAGCAACATAACAGTTGAAACGTTTGAAAACAGTGGTTCAGACTCAAATTTTTGAAAAAATTTTATCAAAAACAAGTCTAATTCTTTCAAGTAAGCAATTTAATGAAGACAAATTTGAAACACACAAACTCCTCCCCCACACCTAAAGCATACATTGTCCTCAATGTATAAAACATGCAGAGACAAAGAATAAAAGCACATACAAATTCCCAAATAATATTAAAGAGAAAAAAAAATGGTACTTCCTTGGGAATTCGTAGTGGAGGAATGAAACTTGATGTGAAGCGGAGTAACATCTTTTTGCATTGGATCAAAAGGATTGACCGCGTAGAAAAATTTTCCTCGAAAGCTAGCTATCACACTCAAACAAACCATTAAAAAAAACTAACTTTACGTCGATTAAATGATTAAGAAAAACCACGAAAATCAAGAAATCATAGATTTCAAGATCATCAAGAACAAAAAACTTAACCACCTAGTCGATTTATTCAAGAAAACAAATAACAAAAATTAAACCATTGGGTTGCCTCCCAACAAGCGCCTTTCTTTAGTGTCTTTGGCTAGACGCAACATGTACCTCACTTACTCATATATGGGTGGAAGCAAAGTGATTTCTTCCACACAAGCACTTTCAAAATTCTCAAGAAAAGGTTTTAGTCTATGACCATTAACTCGAAAAATCTTACCGGACTCCAACCCTTTAATCTCAATCATACCATTAGGAAACACCTTCAAAACTATAAAGGGTCCATGCCACCTTGACCGCAACTTTCCTGGCATAAACTTTAGTTTGGAATCGAAAAGAAGTACCTTTTGGCCAACAAAGAATTCTTTCTTGTGCAAGAAGTTATCATGAATAAGCTTTGTCCTCTCCTTATACAATTGAGCATTATCATAGGCCTCTAATCGAATCTCTTCCAATTCTTGAAGTTGCAACTTCCTTTCCAATCCCGCCTCATCGACACTCATGTTGAACTGTTTAACTACCCAAAAAGCACGATGTTCAAGTTCAACAGGTAAATGACACATTTTATCAAAAATTAACGTGTATGGTGACATCCCAATTGGTGTTTTGTAAGCTGTGCAGTATGCCCACAATGCATCTTCTAAACGAAGACTTCAATCCTTGCGGTTAGGGTTCACAGTCTTTTCCAAAATTTGCTTAATTTCACGGTTTGAAACCTCAGCTTGTCCATTGGTTTGAGGATGATATGCAGTAGATACACGATGATATACACCGTATTTGCGCATCAATGCTTCCATTGTGCGATTGCAGAAATGGGTGCCTTGGTCATTGATGATTGTTCTTGGTACTCCAAACCTACTAAAAATGTTAGATTTAAGGAATCCTGCAACAACTTTAGAGTCATTAGTTCGAGTAGCTTTTGCTTCTACCCATTTTGACACATAATCTACTGCAAGCAAAACATAGAGACTACCAAATGAACTTGGAAAAGGATGCATAAAAACCATACCCCAAACATCAAATATCTCACAAAATAACATAGGGACTTGGGGCATCTCATTCCTAAATGATATGTTACCTACCCTTTGACACCTTTCACAACTCTTACAAAAATGGTATGCATCTTTAAATACAGATTGCCAATAAAATCCACAATCCAAAATTTTTCTTGTTGTTTTTTTTGGACCAAAATGTCCACCACATGCATGAGTATGACAATAAGTAAGTATTGAATGAATTTCATCATCAGGAACACATCTTCGAATAATCTGATCTGACCCAAGTTTCCACAAATAAAGTTCATCCCATATATAATACTTTGAAGCACTTTTTAACTTATTCTTTTGAAAAGTACTCATACCAGGTGGAAATTTACCAATAGTTAAAAAGTTAACTATGTCAGCAAACCATGGTTTCTTACCTTCCTTACCTTCCATGGCCCATAAATGCTCATCTGGAAAGAGTTCTGAAATTGGTTGTGACTCTTCATCGCGCACCAACCGGCTAAGGTGATCAGCAACAGTGTTGTCAGTTCCCTTTCGGTCTTTTGTCTCCCAATCAAATTATTGTAGTAGAAGAATCCATCGAATGAGTCGTGGTTTTGATTCCTTCTTCGCCAACAAGTACTTGAGGGCTGCATGATTAGAGTAAAAAACAACTTTAGTACCTAACAAATAAGACCGAAATTTATCAAAAGCAAACACAATAGCTAAAAGCTCTTTCTCAGTGGTTGTGTAATTGCATTGCGCCGGATTAAGTGTCTTGGATGCATAATAAATCACATGGCTTTGTTTCCCGTCTCTTTGACCAAGTACTGCTCCTACAGCATAATGACTTGCATCACACATGAGCTCAAAAGGCAAATCCCAGTTGGGAGGTTGAATAATAGGTGCGGAAGTGAGAGCTCCCTTCAATATATCAAATGCCTTCTTGCATTCTTCTCCAAACTCAAATGCAATATCTTGTTGCAACAGCCTAGATAATGTTTGTGCAATCTTAGAGAAATCCGTAATGAAGCGTCTATAAATTCCTGCATGACCAAGAAAGCTTCGAATTTCTCGAACATTAGTAGGATATGACAAACTAACAATTAAATCAACTTTTGCCTTATCTACTTCTATTCCCCTAGATGACACTAAATGACCCAAAACAATTCCCTCCTTCACCATGAAGTGACATTTTTCATAATTAAGAACCAAATTTTTGTCAACGCATCTTTCAAGAACTTTAGACAAATTATCCAAATATTGATCAAATGAGTCACCATAGACAGTAAAGTCATCCATGAAAATTTCAATGCAGTTTTCAATGTAATCAAAAAATATGCTCATCATGCATCTTTGAAAAGTTTCAGGGGCATTACACAAACCAAAAGGCATGCGACGGTAAGCAAAAGTACCAAAAGAGCAAGTAAAAGTGTTATATTGCGAGTAAGATGAGCTAGCCATTGCAATCGTACATTTGGATTTCACAAACAAAATCAACAAAATAAACAATGTACAATCCTACATTTGGATTTCACAAACAATTCAATTCGGCCAAAAAAAAATCAACACAAAAAAAACTAACCCAAACATGAAAAATGAACATCATTAAAGAACTATAAATGTAAATATGCAACACCTAACCAGAACAATAACCTAAACATCAAGTGAAATCCGTATTTGCAACAAAGAAACAATTTAAAAACCTACCAATCATGCATTATCTAAAGCCCTAAGCAGAATATTCATCAATAATTCCATTCGGCCAAAAACAAAATAAAACAATGCATATCCAAAAAAAAAACAGTTAAAGCATATCAATGTCCAATGCATAGACAATTCAATTGGGGCAAAAAAAACAATGTATTATACTACATTCGGATTTCATAATTCCAATATAGGGTGAAAAAAAAATAGAATTCATTACATACTTATCAATACATTCATTCGGCATAAAGATATGAATTAGGCAAAAAAAAATTAGGGAGAAAAAAACTTACCGGATTAGGGAGTCGCCGGACGGAGGAGTTGGAAGTCACAATCACCGGACCGGAGGAGTTGGAAGTCACAGTCGCCGGAAGGAGGAGTCGTTGAGGGAGAATGGACAGAAGTGAGTCGCCGGACAGAGAGGAGCTCAATTTGGACAGACGGGAGTCGCCTGCAGTGGAGTAAGTAGCCGGACGGATGCTTCAGAGTTGGGGCATCGGGACTTCGAATTTGAAGCAGCGGACAAAGGAGATTGACTCGCCGGATGGAGGGTAATTCAATTTGGGTCCTGGATTGAGTCGCTGGATGGGGAGGAGCGGTGGACGGGTGAACTTGGTCGCCGGACGGGAGGGGGTAGTGAAATTAGGGTTTTTCAGTCGGGCATTGGGGGAAAATGAAATAGGGGAAGAGTTGACCGATCTTTTATAATCCCGTCACATTCGGAAGCGTCGTACCCATCTTTACTCTTGAAAGCGTCATACCCATTTTCCAACATAACCACTTCACCTTTCTACTATTATATCGCGACACAAGATTGCTGTGTGTGGCAGAGGCAATAAAGTGGCCACCATCCCCTAAATCACTCCATTCATCCATCTGTGACATTGCGCTCAACAATCTTGCATTCCAGTCGGATATCACACTTACGATTCTATCCTGCACAACCCACAACCTCAAATTGCTCATAAAAAATGTCCAACTCTCTATTGTCTCCTCATACACAATCACAAATGCAACCGGTAAAATGTGCTTATTTGCGGTATAGATCACTACAACAAGCAATTTACCCTTGTATCCACCATGCAAGTGTGTTCCCTCAATACAAATGACCGGTGGACATTCAAGAAACGTTGCAGCCACTGGTGCAAATGACCAGAAGACATATTTAAATGTCCTATTTCCCCTGTTCCAACCTTCTTCTCCCTCCTTCCATTCCCACTGTACTACAGTCTCAGGATTAGTAAACTTAAGCGCAGCGATATACCTACACAACAAACGAGTCATAGTTAAAACATTTCAATACATGTTAACACAAAAATAAAATAAAATAATATACATAACAATTATAAAAGTTGATATTTACCTAGGAAGTTCTTCGAAATTCGAGGTCCAATCACCATAGACTGCTTCTATGGGTTTCCTCCTCCCGTGCCACGTCCTTTTGTATGGCACATCTACTTTCAATAAGGTCTTTACATCTTTCTGTGCCGAGTCCACCGTATAATCTACGTTGTCCTCAACCTTTCTCCCGGTGAGTCTAGCAATCAAAGACGCTTCCATACACCGATTGTCATTATCATTCACGGGAGTCATGCAATTATGTGCATCATGTCATCTCACAATTTCATGAAGGCCGTGATCTTTCAAAGACACACGCATCTTCCACATATATGGTGGATCACCATCCTCACTTGGTATATTTAATGTTCTGCATCGCACAGCCCACGTCGTCGGACTACTCGCGGCAACCGTATATTCTCTTTTATGATGGATGTTCCATAATTTCACGGCATGTTTTGCTTCTGATTGGGATTTTAAATAAACACCAATGTCCATTTCTTCGGGGGTCTCATCCCATATCTTAAGAGCAAACTCATCCTTGTCCACATACGAGGCATCCTATTTCCCCATCTTACTATATACATGGCGTCGGGGCAATGGATTAAGATCCATTTCCTCATTTTTCAATAATTCATCATCACTTTCCTCAAAATCACTATCTGCAGAGAACTCACGATCTTCTTCGCTTTCGTTTGGAGTTATGTAGTCGGGATCCGACTCTTCCATGTAGTCATCTTATGAAAATAAAGGTGTCTTCTCTTCATTACGGTTTCGAGAAGTACTAGCACATTCCCCCCTTGGAAAACCACCAAATAACACGTTGTTTTCCAAACTCGCTTCTCTTTCTTCGTGAGTGATATCTTCCGAATCTATGTATAAATCCAAATATGACATTGGAGCTGCACGGTTCATGAACTCTATATGCGAATCATTCTTGATCTTCACTACACGCCTACCACCTGGACTATCGAAAATTACAGAAAGGTGGAGTTTCACGTGTGCTGGATTCCAATCAAGTGTCATACAAATTTTACTAATCTATTCCACATATGACAACCTTTCCCCAACAAACAAGCCATCATCCGGCATATTCGAAAAAGTGTTGATGATACCATTCTCTATCAGATACTTGCGTGTATGAACCAAATTAAGCATGTATGATATATTACATGCCATTGATAACTGTTTTAAAAAAAAATCAATATCTAATCATTTCTTAATAACAAAATCAACAAATATACCATACATACTCCATTCATAATTCAAAAAACCTAAATTTTTTATTTTTCAATTTTTAAATTTTTTAATAATATTATATTTGAATTTTGAATTTTTTATTTTTCAATTTTTAAATTTTTTAATAATATTATATTTGAATTTTGAATTTTTAAATTTTTTCTTTTTTAATAATAAATTATAAATTAATATAATATGTTTAGTATTGTTTTAATACATTTTTTGTTTTTAACATATTTTAAAAATCTGATATTTATAAATTACCGAAATACCCCTATTGAGTTGACAAAGAATTGGTCAACCCAAGAACTCACAAATGTAAAGGGCCAGAATAGATAAAAAGGATCAAATTAGTTGGAAAGACAAATGTAAGGGACCAAATGAGTGAGTTTTTAATGTAAAGGACCAAATTAAATTTTCGGACAAATGTAAAGGATCTTTTAAGCAGATTACTCTTTATAATATCACTTTCCTCGAAAAATTAATGTAATGTTCATTAGTATTATACTTTTGTGGAACAGAGAATATAAGTCGATCGCGTATAAGAGTTTTACACTCCTTTTGCCGTACTTTGAGGTTAATGTAGTACTCTTCAAAGTACATTGGAGTTCTCATTGTTAAGGAGAATAGACTCATTAGTTTTGGTACAATGAACGAACAGGAAAAACAAAAGAAATTAAAATTGCAGCGGCTATATCAGTCATCCAACAATTGCTATAAATATATTGTATTGTGTTAAATTTTTCTAAAAAATAGGGAGAAAAATAATGCATAGCCGGTAGCATACTACCACTTCGGATGATTACAAATTTTATTTTTGCATATAAAATTCAAAAACACTAATGATACGTACAATTAATTACACTATAAAAATTGCATTCAACTATTCCATAAAAAATCCTCCAAAAAATTATCTTTCTTGGCCAAAAATAAAAAATCACCTAAGTTGACCACTTAGAGAATCATTAATTTTTACTCTTACATTGTAAGTATATATGTTTTATACCGCTTCTATCTTGGACTATGTTTTTAGTACAAAGGGAGTAACTTTGATGAACAATTTTTAATCTGAGCAACACTGGAGGATAAATTTAGTGCTCAATAATAAATAAGTGGGGTGAAATTGCCAAATTGGGGGAGAAAAATAATAGAAAGAAAGAAAGAAAAAGAGTTAAAATAATAGAGAAAATTTGGCTAAAGGGTAGTAGAACAAGTCAATTTGATAAAAGAGTTATGACTTAAAAATATTTTTTACAAAGGACGATAGTGTATTTATCAAAAATCACAAAATCAATATAATTTTATAATGACATAATACCCTTTTAAATTTATAAAATGCATAACACAAAAATCACTCCCCTGACTCTTTTCCCTCGTCAATCATCATGATTTGGGATTTTACAGAGAATACAATAATGACAACATCATTTTGATAAATCAAAAAATGTAATAATTTTAGCAATAATATTAGTTTGACACAAATTCATCCTAGCAGTTTTGTTCCTTGAAATCTTAATTGGGGTTTCTTCCATATATCCGAAGCCTTGAAGTTTTACCTAAAATTAGCTTAGTATCCTCGAGCTGATGTAGAAATTAACTACCTATAAAAAGAGATCTAATCATGAAAATATGAGAAAAATAATTGGTTTCATGCTAGGATTTTTTGTCTGGTAAAGATGTTGAACAGAGAAAAAAATGGCAAGGTGTAAAATAAGAGAAAAGTCATGAAAAATAAAAAAAATATTGTAATAAATTATAAGGATGGAATATAAGGATGGAATTCACAAGTATTTTTTGTTTATGCTCTTTGAATAAATAAGATACCGCCCTTTATTAAAAATATTTTAAGGTCATACCCTTTTTATTAATTTGACATAATATGCCCCTTAGCCAAATTCTCTCAAAATAAATACGAAATCATCCTTCGAAATGGCGTCGCTTGATTTGTTAGTAGATTCTTTTTGTAGGCTTTTTTCCCCTCTCTTTTCCCACAAGAAGCAAAGCAGGAACGGAAAAGAAAGAAAGAACAATGAAAAAAAAGCGGCAGCAAGGGCAGAGCGAAATTAAGCAGCTCAACCCCAACTGGGAGCAGCTCCGTCAGGTTAATATATCTACACCGTATTCTCCGATGAATCCTAGTTTTTCGACAATACAAACGTTTATTTACTCAGTTCATCTGTGCAGAAACTGAAGAGCTCTGGCCCCAGGAGACAGCCTTCTAAAACCCCGCAGGAAGAATCAGAAGCCGGGAACGAAAGTTCAATTTTAGGTTCGACCCACTTCACTGTTTGATTCTTTGAGTATGTTTTTGGGATTAATAGAGAGTTTAGCGTATGACTAGAACTCACATTTTTCCAGCTAGTTCTTAAGAGTTGTTTGGATAGTGTTTGAATCTTTTCCTTTGGGCTAATGGTTTGCAGGGAAACGGAAAGATAGAGATTTGATTGAGGAATCTAATGTTTCTCGACCTAACCCGTTGATCCCAACTTCCTCTGACTCCAGGTGCTTATGAAATTTTGTTTCTTTGGTGTATAAAGAATTTTTACTTTTGATTTCATCTTGGTTTTCCAAATGACAAGTTGAGGGAGTTTATCTAGTTGTTTCTCTGTATTATTTCTCCTCCTCCGGAAGGAGACCTAAGGCTAAGTGGAAGGGGGAATGATGAAATTTGTCCCGATTGGTGGAAGGTTTTTAATCAGGATTCTTTCTTCTTCCGGAAAGTGGATGTTCCAGTAAGAGAAGAATTAACGATCGAAATAGTAATTTTATTGTATATGATGCAGACAAAAATGTAACTTTGTCAATTGGGAATCAGTTATTTGTGTTTGTGAGGATAATGCATGGGTGCTCAACCTTCAAAGTCTAGAATACGTCGGTCAATAAACTACTTGAAATTCTTTGGAAAAGGAGTTCGGTGTCAGTGAATGTAGCTCTTTTGTTTTCACATTTGATGATATGCTATCGCATCTATTATTCCCATGTTCTATTAACTTGATTTCTTTTGCTGGCAGTATCACAGAAGCTTTAGCCATGGACTGTGAAATGGTTGGTGTCAGCTCTTTGGGTAACAAAAGTGCTCTTGGACGCGTTACCCTGGTATTCTGTTGCTCAAATTTTGCATGCAAAATTATCCTTAATTTCTCATGTCATGTGTGATTCATGAATCTTAAACCAGTGCTATTCATAGAGAGCTTTCTATTGTGTAATGATTTGCTCCACTTTAACATGTTACAAATGGTGTGACTCATTACACTGTCGAAATTTACTGGCCTTCTGGATTTGAGTAATTTCTAAGACGCTCTGCGTTCTCGTATCATGAAGTTAAAGGCATGTTGAGTCAGTTACTGCATAGGTGTCTGAGACGTTCTGAAGGTTTTTCTTGTGTTCTTTTCCCCCAGCCACAGACTGCTAGCCAATATCTTGGATTTACAATTCCTATTTGGTGCTGGCTTCACTGATGGACGTGTTTAGTCCCATTAGCTCCTTCTGTGTGTAAACGTCTCTAGAGCTCCTGGCATTGCTTAATTATAAATGATAAAACCTCTCTATGTTATTCTTCATCCGTAGATGTTTACTACGTAACAAATTATAAAATGGTGTACTGGTCTGGTTTTGTACAATTGCCTACTTGAATTGACAGTGTAGTTATGACCTTTGAATTTCAGTTTCATTAAGTTTGATTTTGTTCGTTGCAGGTTAACAAATGGGGAAATGTTGTCTATGACGAATTTGTCCGCCCAGTAGAATGGATTGTTGACTTCCGAACAGAAATTAGTGGGATCCGGGCTCGTGACTTGAAAAAAGGTTGGGCTCCCTTTAACCGTTTTCAAATAATGTTTATACTATATCTCCTTCAAATAAGCATTAACTAAATCTCTGAATTCAGCGAAATTAAAGAATTACAATTAATTGAATATCTAGAAACTACACGCTATATCATATTAATCTTCCTAAGACGACTTGCATCCTGATTGTGTGGATTTTCAACAATTTTGGCGGATGCTCTTGTCTTTGAACTTTTCCATGTTGTGTGCGTGTTTGGCTGCTTGCAGATCTGCTGTTATTGACATTAAAGTTTTCATGGTTCCCAGGTCTCTATGTTTTAGGGCCTGAGTGCATCTGATTTTAGACTTCTCTTTAATTTGTCAATTTGGGGGAAAACAATAATGATTGCTTTCCCTATGTTCTTAGTGTGGAGGACTAACAAGATCTTCTCTCTTTGGAATTGACTGGCTTCAAAGTGTATTTGCAACCTCATTCTAATTTTGCTTGTCTACTCCATTTCTCCTCTGGGTTGAAGATCCTTGCCCATAGAATTAAAATTAGAAGCTGATTATTGAGTGTAAGCTGAAGCATCATGTTATGAAGTTGATTGTGTATGTTGTTATTTTGTTATGCAGCAAAGAACTTCATGGTAGTTCAGAAAGAAGTGGCCGAGTTGCTCAAGGGGAGGATTCTTGTTGGGCATGCTTTACAGAATGATCTAAAGGCTAGTATTGAATTCTTCAATGTCATTGAATTAAATTTTTGATACATTTAGTGTGCTTCTCATAAGTTTCAAGACTTTCTCTCCAGGCGTTACTTTTAACACATCCGAAGAAGGATATACGTGATACATCACATTATCAGCCTTTTCTGAAGTACGGTTCCCTTCTTTTGTTGAATCATTGTAAGAGACATTTGGAGTTTATGGTGTGACTTTTGCTGGTTTATGTACTCATAGTTACTTCTTTGTGAATCAGGGATGGACGTAGTCGAGCTCTTCGTCATCTTGCATCTGAATTTCTCGGGGTGGAAATTCAAAACGGTGAACATTGCCCGGTTAGTTGGTTGTATTTGCATTTTTTGTCTTTGATCTTACAATTTGCTTATTCATTGTCTTTGGCTTTGCGTGACCTCAAGATTCAAATGAGTATTAGGAATTTGAGATGATAGCTTATTTGATGCACAATTAGACCCGTCTGTCACTGATATTCTGATTTAATCTATTACGATTATAGTTCCCCATCTCAATCCGGCAATTTGTAACCCAGATCCATTACTCTGATATAAGATTTAGCCTGCTTGTCAAAAGGTTGTCGTAGCTTAGCAATGGGGTTTTTATGTACCGAAAGTTCTGAATAAGTGTAGCACGGGGTTGATTGTCCAATCTCTTATTTTGGCTGGAGTTCTGGTTTTCACTCCACAGCCAGAAAAGTTATCCGATTAACATCTTTGAGTTGCCTACACCTCCTGCTTGTTAGAACCCTGGATTGTTCTGTATTTGACGAATATTTAGTCAAGTGTATGGTTTCTGAAATTATCATTATTATAGTCATAGTCGGTGCACTCTCTAGCTTTTGAACGAAATTCTCTCTTTTGCTAAGTTGGACCAACTGCAACTTACGATTATGTGGCTGGCTTTTGCTGGGATCTCTTTTCCACTTCTATGCTTTTTGTTCTAGTGATATTGCTTCATTCATTACTTTAGTTGCAGTTGGAGGTTAAACATACCATCAGTAACTTTTATTTATTTTTGCAGTATCTTTGAGAACTTATGAAATGTCTCCTTTGTGGTGCGCAATGAAGTTGTATTAAGTGTATAATTGGAGAGAATGCTCTTTCTTTTTCTTGTATACTGTGCGGTGAAATTTATTTCACTTATGCTGTTGATCCTTTGGACATTTTAGATAGAGGATGCCCGGGCTGCAATGCTTCTTTATCAAAAAAAACGGAAAATATGGGAAAAAAGCGTTAAGGATATGACTAGGCTCAAGGAAAAGAAGAAGCAGAGGAAACCCAAAAGTAAGCGGAAAAAAGAAAGTTCAGATGTGCATCATGATGACGCTTCATAGCCTTAAGTTCATAGCAAAGCTGTTGTAGGGGCTGTAGAATTTGCTTCATCGTACGAAACAAATATTTGCTCTCTGAAGAAAAGATGAACACTATTTGAACACAAAACAAATGGTCTGCATGGTGAAGATGAAACTGAAGCTTTGCAGCAAATGTATGCTAACACATTAACCATGAGAGAAAAGCTTATACCAAGTTTTTTAGTTATGGACAGTTATTTGGAGCAATGGGACATTGTAGTTTTCATTTGGTTCTGATTTTCTATTTAATTTTTTATTTTTATTTTTTTGTAACAAGGGAATGGATGTTCTACTAAGTTCTTGGAACAATTTATCAAGACATGGTTCCTTCTGGTAACAGACAGTTTAGATACTTGTACTTACTGTGCCCCAAAATGATAGATTGTACTGTTTGTTTGTCAATCACAATTCACAAATCCAATGTTTGCTTTTTAACTTGTAACTGACTTCCTATTTTTTCATTGAGTACTAATATCTAATTCTAAACAGTAACAGTAGAACCATTCCTTCCCTTAGCATTGGTTCCTCAATGTGGTTTTGAGAAAAACAACTCATAGAATTTCAGGTCTGAAGTACAAAGAGACTGACTTAGTAGCAAATTCCAGATTTGTGTTCTTGAATTCGAAAAACCAAATACCACAATTTCCTGCAGTTAATTAGGAAATTACAGTAATCCAATTGTATCCACGGGATCTAAGGATGAGAGAAAAGATAAAGTTAGGGTTCTAGCACAATGAAAAAGAGTGCAATACTGCTACCGCATGCTGGTTTGAAGAGAATAGTCGGTGAAAAACACAGCTGTATGAGTTTCAACAGGATTTCTAACGAATTGTTATTGGACTTTTTGAGCTCCCTTTTCCCTCCAATTCCAACGGCCAGTCACCTTTGATAATTTGAACTTTCAATTTCACTTCGTCTTCATTGTCTTCCATTACTTCCCAGAATAGTGCATCTCCAATCTTTAGGCCATTTTCTTCAACAAAATCCCTCCAAGAGCTGGAATCAAACCTCTTACTTCTGCTGTCTCCATAAAACATCATGTCCCAGGTTTTGCCACGACAAATGACAGTTGCGGGAACATATCTGGATGGAAGATACTGGTGCAAGCTTACAGGAAAATTCTGTAACATAACAAATGGACAGACATCTAAAATAAGAGCTGATATTCATTGTTTATGACCTTGGTTTCTTATATTACTTCCATAACTTGGAAACTGAAGGTACGGGATTGAAATTAAATAGTTGAAATGAGTTATTAATGTCTAGTGGGAGTACTTACCATTTGATGCAGAGGTTTAAAGTGAGATTTCTTCAGTATATTGTGGCAGAAGGCTACTCCTGAGAGTGGTGAAAAATCTTCATCCAACAGGGGAATTTTCTGATTTATCTCATCATCAACACTGCTTAGTGGTTCCTCCTCTGGTTCCTTTTTAATCTCTAAGTGGATTTTCTCTTTGAAGGAATCCTCATCCTCCTGAAATGAATAATCTGAGAGTTACGCATGGAACTGTAAAATGCCCAATTGAATTTCGAAGTATCAAGCAAATGAAGTTAACTCAAATTGAACATTATGTTAACTAGTCCATCTACACTCCTAAGCCACACATCAAATGACTGCTAGGATTTCAGAGGTCCTGTAAGAAAGTATAATAGATGCAAAATTGTCGCAGCAGGCATCATAAAACCATCATGATTATACATGTGAAATGGCACAAGAATACTGATTTGAATGTTCCTTGACAACCATCTTACAAATTGTTCCAGACTTAGTTCCACAAGACAATTGCGACCAAATGCAAAAATGAAGTTGATGACATTACTACCATTGGCAAGAAGCACCAATTTATGTCATCTTGAAGAAGAACAAAATGCCATACCAAAATAAATTGAGCACAAAGATAAACACTTCTTACACATTCAAGAACTTGGCACAGCCTTAATTTCCACCCATCTACACCAACTAAATAGAAACAAAATGCATGGAAAAGGAACAGATCCAGACACTATACGGGGTGAAATTCCAGAGAGAAACACGTGGAAAGTTTCCTAACTAGTACCGTTATGTGCCGGGTTCAAAAACTATGCTCTACCAGGATAATTTCAAACAACACATTCCTAACAAACGGAATTAATTTAACAACTTTCCTATCTATTTGATGTAGTAAGAAACACAATCACTCAACAACATGGTGAAGAGAAATGTTCACAAAAGACAGAAGCTTCAAATAATAACCTTTTTGATCGATGCTTCATTGCCATTGCTTTGGGGAAACTTTGACATTATCGCAAACTGCCTTCTCCTAAACTATGCAAAAGACACAATTAGTTTAGTCAAACTAAATGTAATCATATAGTCAAACTAAAACTTGCTATGACATGTACTTCTGAAAAGTGATAATTCGACCAATGACATCCAAATTCCAAGTGATAGGCAGAATGTTCTTGTGACAGGGATGAGCATAGCAACAATATGAATCTAGCAGCTCCATACCCACAAGTGACATAACCAAATTGTAAAAGGCGTATATCTGGCTTAATAGCTTAGCCTCGCAGATACCTTTGATACTTAGCTAAACTAAAGTAAAATACTACAACCAGAGTTCCAGAAGAGGCACATAGAGGGACATTTCGAACTCCAAAACCGAATCAACATAAAGATCAGTTAATTAAACACAAGATACAAAACAAATTTCGAACAGCTACAACAGCTTTTGGATCTAGTTGAAATTAAAAATTAGTTACATGAGATCAATGTTTATTGAACCAATTCACCTTTTAATCAAACCTAGCTCAACGAATGCCAAAAAAGGGAAAAAAAAAATTCAACTTGCAGATACATAATTCAAAATAAGCCTCAACAATGTCAGCTAATATGATCATTATGTAAACCCATTAACTAAAGAAACCCAGCAAGAAAAGAAAAACACGATTAAAAACACATATAGAGAAAATGATTCAGGTAGAATTTTGCAAACAAGCTGAAAACTCTTAAAGCCCAACTCGCGAAACAAATTAACAGATGAATCCCAGATAATAAGAACTCTTCTTTTCTTCAAGCCCTCGACTAAATTACAAAACTTCTTTTTGTTCATTGCTTAGAATGGTAAGTAGAAAGGTAGAAAATGAAGCTTATATGATCATGATCTTTACCTGTTGTATCAGCCCAGAACTTCTTTCTTCTTCATAACCCGGGTTTGGCCTCTTATATAAGTGAAATTATTGGGGAGAGATGATTTCATCATACGTACGGTCAAACTGAAACAGCAAAAGATGTATGCTTTTCGTCAGTTTGCTCTCTGCACACTTCCTTTCCTCTTTCGACATTGTTGCTTCTCTCCTAAAGGTCCAGCATGCGAAGTTCGTGTTTTGACTGCTTTCTCAATTTTTACTGCGGAGAAGGAAATTATCATGAGCGTCCTTCTAATTTCTAAACATATCAAAATGTAGCCCTCAGTTTTATCTTGTTTTGGGACTCCACCATTTGATGATAATGCATAGTGAGATTCTTACAACTTACCTCTCTCGTCCCCGAAATAATTGTTCAATATGCACTTTCACTCTTAACACTAATTACACTACAAAATATTTTTTATTACTCCGCTGTTTCAAAATTATTATCCAATTTGAGATTTTACTTTTAGTACAATTATGGGACAGGACGAGTAAAATCTATTTGAATTAAAAGAGAAACTATTACTCGATACTTCTTAAAATTTGTTTGAAAGTCTCTCTTTAAGAAAAAAAAATATATCATCATGTTACTTTTATCTCGCATCTCATTCTTTCTCCAAAAAAAAAAAAAAAAAAAAACCTCGTATGAATCTCGTGTTTTACATACGGACTCGAAGTAAATAGTAAAAAATAAGAGTTCAAAATGATCCGCCCTAAGTGTGACTTTGCCCCGGTTTGTAAAGTACTGTATAATAAATTATGGCTTATAACTAAACCCGAAAGAAATATCTTACTAATAGAAGTATAAATCCATTCTTTTGCGTTGTGATTGGCAAACAAGATCCAATAAAATCAACGACCAAGATACAAATTGATGAACTATTCAAAGTTCAAATCACCAAATAGTACCACCAACTTTTGGCTTCTGGCACATTGAAAACCAGCTTATATGTGTTTGGAGAATGATCAATCAAGAACACGGTTTAACTAATTCTCCCTCCCAACCCTCCATTCGGAAAAAAAAAAAAAAAAAAGTCTGCTTGTTGAACCAAAATAGTCACTGAGACTCCCGGAGGGAAGGAGTATACATGGTTAAGTTCAACAGAATCTCTTACAAATAGTTATTGGATCTTTTGGGTTAGAACCGCTGCCGTTTGCCTCCGATTCAAGTGGGCAGTCACCTTTGATAATTTGAACTTTCAAATTTGCCTTCTCTTTATTGTCTTCCATCACTTCCCAGAATACTGCATCTCCCATCTTCAGGTCATTTTCCTCAACAAATTTCCTCCAGGAGGCACGATCTAACCTCTTCAATGTGCTATCTCCATGAAACATCATCTCCCAGGTTTTGCCGCGACAAGTTACAGTTGCGGGGGCGAATTTGGATGGAAGATATGGGTGCAATCTCACAGGAAGTATCTGAAACATTACAAATGGACAAAAAACTACTCGTTGTTTACGCCCTTTGTTTCCGTGTATGAAAAAAATACAGACTTGAAATAAGTTGTGAATGTTTGGAGTACTTACCATTTGATAGAGAGGTTTGAATTGAACTTTCTTGAGAACAGTACTGTAAAATGCTATTCCTGAGAGTGGTGAAAAGTCATCATCCACCAGGGGCATTTTCTGATTTCTTTCAGGAGCCTCACTTTCTTGTGGATCCTCATTTGTTGCACTGTTGAATTCCCTGTTGAGTTTCCTTTTGGAGGAATGCACCTGAAATGCGTAATCTGAGAGTTACACGGGGAATCACAAATATCCCTGTCGGGATTCAAAGAGCAGAACAAATGAAGTGAACTGACGTTAACAAAATGCTAATCTGCACTCTCAGAATAACACCAGGTTCTGTAGTTAACATAATAAAAAAAATTGTTGTACAATGCATCTGCAAACCATCAACATTGCATGAGAAAGTGTGTAAAGAATTTCAATCCCTCTGTTGACTATCATTCCAACCATTGCTAAGAAAAACTAAGTGCAAAACCCAAGTTGATTATCATTCCTACCATCGTAACAAGTATTTGATCGTATCTGTTTCAGGAAAAACTAAATGTCAAGCCAAAATACATCGAACACAGAGGAATTTCCCAAAGCTCACGCATTAATCCATAACCTCATGAGCACAGCCTGTCCAGGCTAACTAAATGTTAGTATAAAATGCAGGCATGTATGTAAAAGGAGTACATCCAGAGGCAACCTATGTCATTTAATCTTCAAACAGAAAAGGAATTTAATGGCTTTCTAATCCCGCTTGGTGTTATGCAAAACACCATCTCCCAACAACCTACATGATGGCAAAAGCAAAGTTACAAGACAGGGTTCAAACTATTACCTTTTTGCTGGATCCTCCTACACAGCCGCTGCCTTGGAATGAGTTTGACATTGTCACCAACTGGTTTGATTCCTCAAAACTACAAAAGAGTCAAACAAACTGAGATCATTTACCAAACTAGACTTCGCAGTCACATATCTACTTTTAAGAACTGATAAGTCAATTTCAACCGACGATATCCAAAAGACCATTCCACATGATAAATTGAAGGTTTCAAGCCAGAATATATTTTTGTCAATGGTCATAAAAGTAGTAGTATTATGCATATATTCTTGTGAAAGGGACATCATAGCAACATAATGAATGTACTGAGGTCGTATCAAAGTCAATTCACATGTGACTTCACACTAAATTCTAATATCTGGAGACATTTTCATCTTCCAAATAAGTATTGCTCAAATAAGAGATCCTTTAGAATCATTGTACAAGATTCAAAACAGATCCTACAAAAATATTGTTCACATCTGGTGATCTCCAGAGAGTAATCTCCTTATCAGCATAATGACCGAGCTTGCAGAAAGCAGTTATGACTAACAAGCAAAAAAATACATCTTTTGAGAATCTAGTTAAAGTAATTACTTCCGATTCTAAGAAATCTGCACCCCCCAGCAAGTATCAGACCAAAATTTACCCTTTAAAAATCAAACTAAACTCGAAGGTTGGGGGAAAACAAAATCAACTGGCAGATACAAAACAGGGCAAATGACAAGAGCATTAATCACTTCATCATCAAAGCCGAAACCCACAACAATTTTGAAGGGTAAAATCTCAGAAACAAAAAAACTGTTTTGATTACCACTTAACATGATCATCATCATGAAGTTAGAGAAAAATTGGAATTCATGAGGAAACTTGACAATAAATGGCGTACCTTTTCAGTCCCGCAGATGTCCTTCTTCTTCCCACTTCATAAGCCCTATGGTCAAATCACAAGATTCCTTCTTCAGAAAAATTGGACTTGAAAGAGAAATGACGAGACAGAAGATTCCTTCATGCGAAACTGTCAAAAATCCATAACGTGTGAAAAGTCGATAACGTATGTATGATTGTTGTCAGCTTCTTTCCTGCACCAAGCCTCTGTAGCCATCGCTGCTCCTTGGAAACATAAAAGGTTCTGTTTAAAGTTTAAACATTGAAGAGGAGTAGTTTAATGCTAGTACCATACTAGTAATAATTAATTAAAAAAAAAAATGTCGAAGACCTGTAGATATTTTTTATACACGAGTAGAAATTTATAAATTTTGATTTGGGTAATTAGAATTTTATTTTTTACAGCGACATTAGCGGCATTATTTGTCCAATTTTGTAGCGTACTACTACTCCCTCATGTCCTTATTATAAGGCATTTTGATTTCGTCCAAGGTTTAAAATAGGATGTCTTTTTAATTGAAAAAAAAAACCTTAAAAGTATATTTTCACATTCGTTGTGTTCTCCTAATTATTATGAAATGTTTTTAAGATTTTTATTTCAATTAAAAAGACAACCTAGGTGAAACCTAAGACGAAATCAAAATGTCTTATAATAAGGACCGGAGGGAATATTGTTTAGTAATATTAGGGGTCAATGGCTTTAAACTCCGCTTATAAAAGCTAGACGGTGATTTAAACATGATGGTACGAGCAGGATTGAGACATAACAATCTAACTTTCAAGCTTTTAAGACTCTTTTATATATGTATTCTTTTTTGTTTCAAAACAATAACTCTAATTTTGAGATTTATACTAAAAAATAGTATAAATCAGAAAACTCAATATGAATTATTTTTTCAGGATGGAGGGAGTACTAAAAAAATTTATGGTTATCTGCATTACCTTTTACATTTTCTTTCTTTTTTCTTTGGTTGAACCACAATCTCAATTTCAATTCAAAAATAATAAACTAAAACAAGAATGAAAGTAAACTATTTACACATTTACAGTTTACTGTACTGTAAATTGTGAAGTTTGAGTTTGTTTTTTTTTTTTTTCTATGCAAGACTATAAAACTGTAAGAAAAAAAGATGAAATTAGCTTCTTGAGTCTTTCATTATTACTTAGCCACCATGTTAACAGTAGCCAGTCTAAAACAAATCTTTGCTCGTTTTGTATAAAAAATAGTATCTTTTGCAAATCAAAGTAATATTACATTATATAATTTTTATGAGACAAAGAGAATCGATTTTGTGTGGAACGTTTTCTTAACAAACAAATGATTATTCATAAAAATGTACACTGAACGCCTTAAACCCTTTTGTTTAGTGTTAACCATATGTATCTTTTTGTAATTATCAAATTTAAACTGGAGTAATTTTTAGCATAATGTTAATAATCGCCTTTTTTTTTCTATTCTATCTGGTTTCACCAAGTGATTTAGTTGATACAGAAATGGGTTTAAAGTGAGAGGAGTTTTGTCCCTTTTGGATTGGGCCCTTTCCAATAAGGCTTCACCTTTGGGATGTAAGTGTCATGACTAGAGGTCTAATTGCCATTTCTAGAAACTTAGGGGGTGGATTTGTAACTTTGTCATTAATTCAGAATGGCGGCTGATGATTGAGTATTAATACTGTAATGATGAGCTGTAATGACTAGTGAATGATAATAACAGAATCTTCTTCTGGAAGTTTCCTTCTTAACTCTCCGGTTGATTCTGACATCTTATTTTCCAAAAATTAACTTTCCGGCCACCGTACGTGACAACTTGGTAATCAGAGCTAGACTCCTTGGCTTGTGGATCACATAGTCATGACGCAAACTCGTTTGCAGAAGGAGATTGACGACCAGCTTCGCCGCCAGGAACAGAAGTTGACAGAATTTTCTACAGAACTCCGGTAACAGGCGGATGAGAACAAAGCAAATAACGATAAATTAAAGAGTCAATTGAGTCTAAATTCGCAATTACTGATACTCAATTAGCTGAAATCTGTGAGCAGTTGAAGATCTTGATTTTAGTTTCCCAACCTAGAGGTGCCATCTAGATAATCTGGTGGTGATAGAGAAATCACCGGCTCAGATTGGAGCTTTTCAGGCAGGGCGATCGCAATTGTTGTCTTGCCGGAGAAACCGACAAATCCTCCGGGGATCAACAAGGGAAAGTCAGTAGAAGTTCAAGAAAATGCCAAAGAAAAGGCGGCAAGGCCACAATGGTTCACGCAGCCTAATATTGAACTTCCAACCTTCTCCAGAGAACAACCATGGGAATGGTTGAGGAAATGTGCTAAGTTTTTCTTGCTTCACCAAATTTCTGAGGAGCAGAAGGTCGATCATATTGAGCTGTACTTGGAAGAATAGGCAGATACGTGGTATCAATCTATCAAACTCCCTAAGGGGAAGCTTTTGTTGACAGAATTTTCATCCGAATTGCTCAAACGCTTCATCGATTTGGAAGAAATCAATCCAATTTAGGAATTCAATAAGCTCTCCTAAACAGGAACAGTCAAGAACTATCAGAACAAGTTTGAGGAACTCAAAACAAGGATGTTTATGAAAGATCCAAGACTTTCTGAGGAATACTTCATACACAGTTTTATGAGTGGACAGAAAGAAGAATTGAGGCCTATAGTGAGAATGCTAACTCCACAGTCACTTACTGCAGCTTTCAAATTGGCACTTCTCCAAGAACAAAACCTGGAATTGAGTAACAAGAAGCAAAAAATTCTTCCTCCTCAAGTAACAAGACTCATACATTTCCTGTTAAGTCTATTGATTCTTCAAGAATGGTTACTAAGTCAAATAAGCCACTGAATCCTGATTTTGTTAAAAGACTTAGTCCAGAAGAGTATCAGTATAGAGCCAATAATAGGTTAAGTTTTAAATGTGGAGAGAAGTTTGGCCCTGGACATGTTTGTAAATACAAGCATTTTAACATCATGATAATGACTAAAGAAGATGAGTCTGATAACAAGGAAGAACTAGATGTACCTAAGTTACTTATTGATGAAGGGGTTGATTTGAATGATTAACTATTGAGGATGGATCATTACATGTATTTTCTATGGATAGCAGTAAGCAAACCATTTTATTGGTGGGAAGAATTGAAGGCAAGATTGTTAAGATCTTAATTGACACAGGTAGTACTGATAGTTTTATAGATGGGAGGTTGGTCCAAAACATGAGTTTGCCTGTTAAGGAATGCCAGAGATTCAATATTACTGTTGTGGATGGGAATAAGGTCTCTAGAAATCTGGTTTGTCCAAACTTACACTGGAAAATCATGGATTACAAGTTTAACTATGATTTGACGATAATGAAGCTCAGTGCCTATAACATGATCTTGGGGGTGGATTGGATGAAGCATTACAGTCCAATTACATTTGACTTTGATGAAATGCATGTTAGACTCAGTAAATATGGGAGGCAGTATATTTTGCAAGGCAGTGACAAGGGTGTTAGCATGAAATTAATAAGGGAAAAAGATTGTTATGAGCTTACCAGGGAAAGGAGACATATGTTGATGAGTATGCAGTTGATGTCCTGTACTAATCAAGAAGATCATCATTTGGTGAAAATTCCATTACCTAAGTGTATCAACAAGTTGTTGGATGAGTATTGTGATGTTTTTGCAACACCAAATTCTTTACCACCTAGCAGGATATTGGACCATCAAATTATATTCAAACCAGGAGGACAACCATTCAAGATGCACCCTTACAGATGCCCCATGCTCACAAATTTGAGATTGAAAGGCAAGTTGCAGAACTCTTAGAGCAAGGCATTGCAAGGACAAGTAAGAGTCCTTTTGCTTCTCCTGTAATACTGGTAAAGAAGAAGGATGGGAGTTGGAGAATATGTGTGGATTACAGGAGATTAAATGACATGACCATTAAAGACAACTTCCCTATTCCAGTCATTGAAGAACTCCTAGATGAATTAAATGGTGCAACTGTTTCCTCCAAGTTGGATCTCAGATCAGGTTACCACCAAATTTTAGTAATTGATGAAGATGTGGCTAAGACTGATTTTCAGACTCACAGTGGACATTATGAGTTCCTAGTAATGCCATTTGGCCTTACAAATGCTCATGCTACTTTTCAGTCACTCACGAACCAGATTTTTCAGAACCAGTTGAGGAGGTTTGTTCTTGTCTTCTTTGATGATAGTTTAGTCTACAACCACAATTTGGAAGACCATATGATTCATATGAGAGAATTACTTCGAATTCTGAGATCACATCAGTTGTATGCTAAGAGGTCCAAGTGCTCTTTTGCTCAATCATCTGTTGAGTACTTGGGACATCTTGTTTCTGCTACTGGTGTGAACATGGACCAACACAAGATGGAACGTATCAACAACTGGCCTATTCCTACTTCAGTTAAGAGTTTAAGGGGGTTCCTTAGTCTGACTGGTTACTACAGACGTTTCATTAAAAACTATGGAATTATCTGCAAGCCTTTAACCAACCTCCTCAGGAAGAATGCATTTGGTTGGAATCATGAAGCTCAAACTGCTTTCTAGAGATTGAAGACTTGTATGGTTACTGCTCCTGTTCTTAGAGTTCCTGATTTCTCTCAGACTTTTGTTGTGGAAACTGATGCTAGTGAAACAGGCATGGGTGCAGTTCTTATGCAACAAGGACAACCATAGCTTTTATTCGCAAAGATTTTAATCAGAAAAATAGAGGACTGTCTATTTATGAGAAGGAATTGATGGCATTGGTGTTGGATGTGAATAAGTGGAGACACTATTTGATTGGGGTGCATTTCATCATCAGAACGGATCACCAATCTCTGAAATACTTGATGGAACAAAAGATCATCAACACCAACCAGCATAACTGGTTCACCAAACTACTTGGTTTTCATTATGAAGTTCAGTATAAGAAGGGGAAAGACACTACAGCAGCTAATGCTTTGTCCAGAAGAGAACATGGTTACAACAATGACAGTACAGACAAGTCAGAAGAAAGCTGCTCAGCTATTTCATCCATTCATCCCAATGGATGCAAGAGGTTATCAACAGTTATCAAGGGGATCAACTGGTTTTTGATATTATAGCATAAGTGACTTCGAATCCTAATGCTACTCAGGAGTTCCAGTACATTCAGGAAATTCTGAGAAAGAAGAGAAGGATATATGTGTGAGATCAGACTGATATCAAATCCTTATTACTAAAGGCTTTTCATGCTTCTTCTCTTGGTTGGACATTCTGGACAGGTGGTTACCTTGCAGAGATTGAAAGCTTTCTTTTTCTGGCCAAAAATGAAGCAAGATGTGGAAGAATTTGTATCCACTTGTGAAGTTTGCTAGTGCAATAAAGGTGAGAAAGTTCCTTATCTAGGGCTATTACAACCTAATCCTGTGCCTCAGCATGCATGGAAAAGTCTTTCAATGGATTTCATTGTGAAACTACCACCATCAGGACCTTATAATACTATATTGGTAGTGGTGGATAGATTAATCAAATATGGCCATTTCATTTTAATGGAACCACCAGTGACAGCTCCTAAAAGAGCTGAAATATTCTTCAAGGATATTTTCAGATTACATGGTTTGTCAAATGACATTATCACTAATAGAGATGCAGTTTTTACTAGCTACTTTTGGAAAGAACTTTTTAAGTTGCTGGGAATTCAATTGAAGTTCAGCACTGCATACCATCCACAGACAGATGGGTAGACAAAGAGAGTGAATCAGTGCATTGAAACCTATTTGAGGTGTTTTTGCTGTGACAAGCCTTCTTCTTGGAGTCAATGGCTGGTACTTGCAGAATGGTGGTACAACTCTTTCTATCATTATAGCATCAAGATGACCCCCTTCCACTGGGACCATTTATTGTAAGTGTAGTGCCTGCTGCAACTCAGGAAGTTCAACAGAGAACTGTCATCATCAAGTTGTTGCAAGACAACATGCTTAAGGCTCAACAGAGAATGAAGTATTTTGCTGATCAGCACAGGAGTGAAAGAACCCTGAGTGTTGGGGATTGGGTGTACCTCAAACTACAGCCATACAAGCAATCCACTTTGGCAGTAAAAGCTTGTTTTAGACTGAGTTCTAAGTGTTATGGTCCTTATGAAGTCATTGAGAAGATTGGAGCTGTGGCCTACCGTTTGAGATTGCCTCCTTATTCTAGAGCTCATCCTATATTTCATGTGTCACTCTTGAAGAAAGAGCCAAACCTGTCACTTGCACATCACCTCCTGACCTGTCATTGATTGAGGAAAACAATTTACAACCTGAGAAGGTGCTGCAAAGGAGATTTGTTGAGAGAAATGGTGCAAAAGCCACACATTGTTTGATTCTGTGAAAGGGGATGAGTGTTGAAGACACGTCTTGGGAAGATGAAGGTTTTATCCACAGTCAATTTCCTGCTTTCCAAGCTTGAAGACAAGCTTGTTGCTCTGGGGGATGGAGTTTGTCATGATCAGGGGTCTAATTGCCATTTCTAGAAACTTAGGGGGTAGATTTGTTACTTTGTCATTAATTCAGAATGGCGGTTGATGATTGAGTATTAATACTGTAATGATGAGCTGTAATAACTAGTGAATGATAATAATAGAATCTCCTTCTAGAAGTTTCCTTCTTAACTGCTCTCTCTCATCTCTCTCGTCCTCTGAACTCTCCGGTTGATTCCGGCACCTTATTTTCAAAAAATTACCTTTTCAGCCACCACGTGACAATAAGAGCTCTCTTGCTCCCATATGTGAGGCTTCATCTTAGCTTTTCATGACCACGATTGCTCTCATTTTTATAGTGTTCGTGATTGGCCTCCTTAATTATGCATCAATCGAAAGGCAGGGTGACACATCCCCCAACCAAAGGGGGTGCTTCGACCAAAAAAATTTCTAAAAATAGATGTGGACAAAAATAATTTTTTTTTTAGGTGGACAAAATTAGTTGTCATGGATTTGCCAAATCCGAATCTACCCATTTTGTACTACATTCGGATTTGCAACCCAATAGAAATGATGAATCTGATAGTTGTATTATAAAGAAATTCGCATTTGGCGATTCAGATTTGGCAAATCCGTGACAGATAGATTTGTCCATACCACTCCGGAGCATAAATTTTGTCCAGATCCTTCCATTGAAAAATTATTTCGGTGAAAAACTCCAACCAAAGGAGTGGTTACGTTCAACCTCCCCCTTTATTCCTGACATGCTATGGTTGCCCTTACTTGGTTGACTGATATTGATCGGATCCTATAAAAATATATCTATGAAATGGAGAAAAACCGTGAAATTTAAAAATCTTTTTTCATTAACAATAAAAGTATTTTTTAGAGTTAAATATTAACAAAGGCAAAGTTAAGGGAGGCCATTAGTCTCTAGCATCAGTTTCTATAATTTAATTATCAATATAACTTGTTTTTTGAAAAAAAGGTTAAAACTTTGGGTTAATAGCTAAAACTCTCTCATGTTCAGTTGGCCTTACTGTTTGAAAAAATATTTAAGTATTTCTTGATCAGCAAGTCTAATATCAGAAGGGTCTTCCAGCGATTAAAATAGATATTTGTATATGAAATCAACCTAAAATGTGCCAAAGAATATTTGTACCCCTAATAAGTTTTTCATAATTTTCTTTTAACCTCTAATCGAATTCTAAAATTTATTTTTTCGTAAACCCCCCATAAAACAGTCATTCTAAAGTTTGTAAAAAGTGAATTTTAAATTTAGAAGTGAATATTTGATTTTATTAGAGTTCGAAAAGAATTTCGGTTTGTGAGAGGTGCATGTTTTTCTGGCACTTGTTGGGCTGATTTCATATGCATACATTGCTATTTATTCGTCAAAAGACCCTTTTGATAATTGACTGCCAATTGAAAGATTTTTTTTTTTTTTTTTTTGTGTTTTTTTCAAGCAATATGGATATTTTAGATAATCACTAAAGCTCGAGGAGTGTTTTGATATTAACCCTTATATTCTTTTTATAGAAAATAGGCATTGAAATAATTCAATAAACGAGTTAATTTTATAATTCAAAAAAGGAAGAAAAAGAGAAAAAGAGCCATTTTGAATTGGGGTGGGTCTGAAGGTAGATAGTTTTTGGGATTGAATCTGAGGATCAAAGTAGAAGAAGAAGAAGCAGGAGAAAAATTGTTTGGGAAAATGGCTACAAAACAAATGGAAGAGATACAGAAGAAACTAGGAATGTTGAATTACCCACGAGCAAATGCTCCTGCTCAATCTCTTCTCTTTGCCGGCATGGAACGCTATGCTCTTCTTGAATGGCTTTTCTTCAAGTAACATTACTGATTCTCTTTCCCCATTGATTGCTTTCAAATTTCCAATTTTTTTTGGGGATTTTTATTCGATGTTCTCTCGGTGAACTTTTTTGGGGTTTTGGGTTTTTGAATTTCAGGCTATTGGGCGATAAATCTCCATTTTCACAGCAAAATCCACAAGGAGATGCCATGGATCGTGATGAAGAGACTTCTCGAATTCAATGTTCGTTCCTTCTTCGTCTTATTGCACTCTGAAACCCAAGTCATTTTAATAACGTTAATGAAAATCCTTTGCATTTTTATCTGTTAACTTTTGTCCTGGCAAAATCTGGTCTTTTGGGCGGAGAACTAAGAAACTTCACATTTCCGAATTCCAAGTTTAGTCGTTTGAAACTACTATTCGATTTCTGAACAGATCCCTATTTGTAAAGCATGACATTGAAATTTGCCCCTTTATCAGTGAATTATGATGTATTTAGTGTAATGGAAAACCATGGCCCATAATATGCAACTTCAGGATGTGTAATGATGAGTTTCTGTTTGCAGATTTGGCTGAGATAGCTAAGTTTCTTGGTATTACGACCACTATAGATACAGAAGCTATACAAGTGAGTTTTCTCCTTTTTTCTGCTGGTTTCATAATTGTTCCTGTGCTGCTCAGCTATTCCTTAAGCTGATCACTGGTGATCTGTGTTATCATTGTTTTTATGAAGACACATATTCACAGTCTTTGGTATTAGCCTCTGAATTGAGGAGTTCTCGAACTTATTGACCATAGGGACTGTGAAACCGTACCAACTAATCCATCGTGCCTCATCATATTGTTTAAGCTTAATGACAATTCAGCTCTCTTCATTGGGTATTTTGTTTTTCTGTAATGGACCCGTGCTTTCTAGGTTGAAAGCTTAGCGTAATTCTTTTATTAGGTGAAACATCTAAATTATCTGCTTGTTTTAAGTTTTATCATTGCTACGCATTTCCTAAAGGAAATATGTTGCAAAGCTTCCTCTAGTATCCCATTTCTAAAAACCCTGGTTGAATTTATGAGTTATTAATTTGCGTATTCATCTTTGCAGGGAAGAGGTAGTTATGAAGATCGTACTGAAATGCTTCACCTTATTGTAGATCTTGTTGAGGCCAGCATTTATGCTGATAATCCTGAGTGGAGGTTGAGATTTATGCTTTTTAGTTTTCAATCATTGAAGGCTATGAATTCTTCTGCTGCTGGTTAAATTTTTTTCGTACATGTTCTGAAACAAGTGTGTTAGTATTGTATTTTGTTTCTTCTGCTCGGCCCTGGGTTTAAAAAGAAAATTTTCCTTCAGTGTCGATGAACAGGTAGCAAAGGACATACAGCTGATAGATGCCATAGCGGAGAAACAAGCTCAGATCTTTTCTGAGGAATGCAAATTATTTCCTGCAGATGTACAAATCCAATCAATTTATCCCTTGTAAGGAAGAACTCACTCAGCCTTATTCTTTTTCTTGTCTTCTTTCAGTGAGGTTTCATACGTTAGATTGACACAATGGGAGTTATTGTAGTACTCTATCAACTTAAGTGCTTCGTATAATTGTTTAGAAACGCTTAAGTGTTGACTCCTGCATCTGTCCTGGTGACAATTTCTATTGTTGTTCTTTGGTGGGCATTTAATAATTGGATTAGATATCTCTGCTGAATGCTTGGTCCCTTTACTCAACCACATGTCATGCATCTGAGAAACTCTGAATTATTGCAAATAAGATTTTACTATGGTGATAGAGATGCTGTTTAACGGGACATGTTGTGACGGTTGATCTCCAAAAATTAAACCTGTGTTGGACCTAAAGTGAGCTGAATAACTCAGTAACTTGCAAAACTGTGTTTCTTGTGGCATTGCAGTGATTTTTTAATTATGTTTTAAATGATGATTTTCTCTAGCTTATGTCTACCGTTCAAAAATTATATAACACAATAAACTGTCTATCATAGTATGGGTGCTAGTTGCCTTCTTTTGTTGCCTTTCTGTGCTTGCAAATTCTGGTTTTTTAAACCTTTCTCTAGTTGTGTTGTCAGGATAATCTTCATGTCACATAGGTTTGAGTAAATTAGACTGAAGAATAATGGATGTGTCTAGCTATATAGGTCTCTATTCATCAAATAGCCTTTTCTTCTGGGGATGGTTTAAGGTTATAGTTCAAAGTGAAATGAGGGATTAAGTAGGTGAATAGTGCAATCTTAAGTCAAAGACTTGTATCGTTTTTGTTCTATTTAAGTTGGCAGATACTGACACCTATTCTTCTTGATGTAAATCTTGTTTGTACTTCTGTAACATTAATACAACAATTGCAGGCCAGCTATATCTGATTTGGAGAAGCAGCTTTCTGATCAATCAAATAGACTTTTGAGTCTGCAAGAGATGGTTGACGATTTAGCATCCAAGGTTTGTTGATACATTTGTGAAAGCTACTTTTTCCTTAGTCTGGGTAAGTTTCTCTGATCATTAATGATGTTAATGGTATTACCTTGATATCCAGCATGCGTACAACCCAGATGAGGACTACACAGAAGTAGAGGCAAAATTGCGAGCAAATTTGGAATCTTTTCTAGAAACTGCAAAATCGTTTAACTCCATTTACACGAAGGTTGTCTCTCAATTTCATTCTTCTGCAGAGCCTGTTTAAGTAGCCATTGCTTGTTAGTTTGTTGTAAGCTTACTAAATAAGTGTGTGGCTTCCAAGCAAAAAGCATCCTGGTGTATTTGCTACTTCAGAAAAGGACTTATCAAGTTTTCGTCAGAATGTTTCTTTTTGTGGACCTTTGTATGCATCTCTACTATTGATATCCAACTTAATTTTTTCTTTAAATAAAATCTATGTAGGAAATTCGCCCCTGGACGCACATGATGGAGGTTCCACAATTGCATGGATTTGGTCCAGCAGCTGATAGATTGTTGGAAGCATATAAGATGCTTTTGAAGGTATCTGATTGTGAAGTTCTTTGATTGCCATATGGTCATGAAAATGGTGTTAAAGCTTATTGTTTAAATTAGTTGTTGCAAATTTGGACAAACAAGTAAACAGTTCAAAAAAGAATGCCATATCAAGGTTTCTAGCATATGGTTGATGAAGTGAAAATCATTCAATTATTGAGCAAAAGTATAGCACTGGTTCTTGCATTACATCTGCTAAAATTCTATCTCAACTTCTGTCTTAAAGCATTGTCTTCCTCCTTTTTGTTGAATCGCCCTTACTATGCTTGGTGCAGATATCTCTCTTTCCTTACCCCCCTCCCCTTTTTCGCTTTTTAAGGAAGCCTATATATGTCGTGGGGAAGTTTATCTGGATGACTTATCTTTACTTTTGTGAAACATGTTAACAGTTTTTAGGAAATTTGAAGAATCTTCGCGATTCATACACAGCAGTTGCGGTTGGATCTTCTGAAATAGTTGGTGGTGAGCCTTCTTCAGTTACAAGAATAATCTCTGAGTGTGAAACATCGTTAACTCTCTTGAATCGCGATCTTGGAATTCTTTCTGCCTCAATTGCTCGTGAGCGAGGCGAAGACACCATGCTATAAAGGTTATAACTACAGAAATTCCGGAGAAGTTATTTGGCTGACAATCACAATTGGTAGAGGTAGTTTGAGATGATAGAGAACTTGTTGGTTTCGTGATCAAGCATTTGTATACTAGTTAGAAACTTAGAATTATAGCAAATCAATGATTTGAACACGTTAGTTAAACTCTGTGTGTGCATACCTAATGTCCAGAAACCAAAACTGTGTAAACAGAGTATTTTGATTGAAGGGTGCATTTTCAAGGTTTGTGTTCGCTTCTTCTAAGTCTGATGATTGACCATTTCAATCTTTTTCCACTCTGACAATTAAACAATGAAAGCAAAATTCCAATTGATCTCTGCCTTAACAACTACTACTAATTCTGTACGTTCCAACAGTAAACTTCACAAATAGAATAAGCTAAAAACACTGCACAATTTGTTGCCTTTTTTTATTATCAACACAGGAACAAGAATGAACATCGGATCGGAATCAGTGATCTACAATTTTACAGCAACTACATACCAATCAAAAACATCTTTTCCTCCTAGTGAAGTGCAATTATGTACTCTGCCAAAAAATCATATGTAAAAGAAGAGATCACCAGCCATGTTTGTTGGATCAGAAACTCGTCTCTCCTTGTCTTCAGAAATCAATGGCGTTGGTTCGGATTGCAGTAACCTCTTGGAGATCTTAGGTTCGACAATATCATCTGTCGGTTCAAATTGTGGTTCATCAGGGGCACTCTGTATCTGTTCACTCTCCGGCAGAATCTCCAGTGCTTCATTCGCCGGACAGAAGCGACTGGAACTATCAACTCCAACTGTAACACCGTAAGCGTCACACGGGATGTCTGTAGAGCCACCAATCACCGGAGTAGCAAATTGGGACGGTGACTGAGCTGGTGGTTTGACTGGTTTGTTGATTATATCCTCCACATACTCTTGACCGCTTGCCGGTGAAACTCCGGGAACCCCTGTTTCTGATAGCTCAAGAAAGCTGCTAGCCGGCGCTGGAGACGGTGGTTCTATTGGCTTTCCGGTGCTCGAGGAAGCAACTGGAGGAACACCGGTACTGACGTTGACGTTCCCGTTGACCGATTGGTTTGACATCTCTACCGGAATCTGAGACTCCGCCGCCGACAATGATTCGTACCACCTTCCTCTATCTTGAGATTCTCCGAGGGCGTCATCCAACGTCATGGGCTCAATCGAATACAGAATGATCCACTTATTCTTGTAAAGCTCGACGCCGTCGATCCTGGCGCCGTTGACGGTTACGACATCGTTGCCGGACTCAACAAAGATCGTCTTGTTTGGGGCCAGCGTCTCGAACTCTGTTCCTTCTGCAAACGACGTCATCCTGTCCATAAGAAGCCGTTCCGGAACAACGTGACGCCGGGCATTGTAACGGAAACCGACGGAATTTGCGAACAGAACATTATCAGAAGGGGCGAAAACCGTAACCGCCGGTAAGTTTAACAATTCCGGCCGGAGCAGAGACAACGCCGTAGCAGCCACGTGGAATCCCCTTTTCCGTAACATTCTGATTGCGCGATCAAGAAATGACCGGTGGACCCAAGATTGAACATTCGCCACCGGGTCGGAAACGAATACCTTGGAGCATTTTGTCGCCGTGGACGGGTCCAACACGCCGTCGACGCCGTGGATTGTGAGATTAGCGTCCACATAAAGATCCGGCTGCCGGATGTTAACCGCCAAAACTGGCTTCTTGGAAGAAGCGACTGAAAGTTCGCCGTTGGGATTCTTGAAGAGGAAAAGGCAATAATCGGAGTGCAGGGTGGGGAGTTCGTCGCCGTCTAGTCGGGAATTGAGATCTTGCCACCGGAGTGAGGGCGGTTTCAGGGAGTGATAGAGGAGGAGGGTGGTGGAAGGCCGGGGCAGAGCTCGGCTGGTGAGGCTGGGGGAGAAGGCAAATATGAAGTCCGGAGCTGCGAGAATGGTGCCGGAGAGTTTCGCGGCGTTGGAGAATGTTGAGACGAGGGTGGAGGCGTAAAGCGAGTAGCCATGTGAACGGAGGGTTTCTGCGGCGGCGGCGATGGAGGAGGAGGAGGAAGGCGGCTGAGATGGCGCGGTGGCGGCGGCGAAGGAGGAATTAGCTAGGAGGAAAAGGATATGGAGAGAAAAAGCGAGGATCTTGATGTGATGATGGTGAAGATCCATTTTCTTGGGGGCTTACTGTGTGAGTGCGTGTTTTTATGTATTCTTGAAGTTCTGTGAAGTGGCGGTTATTCTGAACTGGGTGTGTGGGGAGGAGAGACTGGTTTTAAAGAAGAAGACTCAGAGAGAAGTTCGTTACTCTTATTTTGTTTTGGCGGGATGATTTGGCATCTTTCTTTGCTAATTGCAAATTCCACCTTCTTCTAGCTTCGTTTGACCACTTTGACTTTGACCCATCAAATTCCACCCCCCCTCTTATTAAGAAAACTCTGATTGGTTTTTTTTTCCTTCAAAAACACATTGTAATACCGTAATAAATTGCATCAACCAAAACTGAATACCCAACACAAAGATACTTCGAAGAAGATTTGAAGGTAAAGGGTAGTGTTAAAACAGATATATCATGTATCATCTCATTCTTAAGGTCAATGTCTCTTTTCAATAGTGTTATCATAAAGTTAAACTAATCAGTGAGTATACTACATTTGATTATGTATTGAAAGATAATGGAAAGGAGGGGAAACAAAGCAAGTGAAATCCCTCCTTCTTATTAGAAATTAGAATAAGTTCAACAATAATTCACGACCCATCATCAATTAACACTGCGAGCTAATCTATAGTGTGCATGTCATTCAAGCGATCATGGCCACTCAAGTTGAACAATTTTGATCGACAATTGTCTAAAACTAACAACTCAAACAAGAAATAAATTTTAGTTCAAATAATAAGGACATTTAAAACTCGTTGTCGATTCTCACCAATGACAAAGTGTAATAATTTTTTCCTTAAAAAGCAATTAAACGTTCAAATAGAAGAACGATCATGTAATTGAACACGCAAGGATACGAAAGGACAATACAACGATCATACAAGTGGATACACAAAGACCTGATCACTTTAAGATCAAGGTGCTACACACACCATTCAAGTTATAGCAGCACAAGTTGCACATAAACTTGTTATGTTCACGAGTTTGAAACTTTTATTAGTCAAAATTTTATGTTCAAACCCTAAAAAAGAGAGAGAGAAAGAAAACCAACATGGAATTCAACTGTATTTTCTCGATTACAATGCCCAAAAGAAACCAAAAAAACAAAAAAATTAAAATAAAATAAAAAATCACAAGTTACAAAAGGAAAAGAGTGCTGTCAATTGTGGACTACTCATTATTTTGTGACAGGCTTAGACCAGTGGAAAAGCCCAAATGTTTTAACGCAAAAAGCCCAAATTCTCGCAGGGATCCCACCCGAAAAGACTTTACTGCCCATCAACCAAAACCCTAAACCCTACTCCATCCCCAACCCACATTTCTAGAGCCTCCTTCTCCACCCTCTATGTTCCAGAACCCTAAAATTCAGTATTTGTACTGAAAACCCAAACTCACTCTGGCCACCACTTCCTCTTCCTCACAAAACCTGTAAAAGATCCAATCTTTCTTCCACACCAAACAGCCATGTCGGAAGTCGAGCTCTCCCGCTCGGAGAAGAAGAAGAAGAAGAGCAGCAAGCACTCCAAGGAAGAATCAGCCGACGCCGACGGCGAGAAGAATCAAACCCAACAACAAGACGCTGATTTCTTGATCAAACCCCAGGCCTACACCCCATCAATTGATACTTCTCAGTGGCCTATCCTCTTGAAGAACTACGACCGCCTCAATGTCCGAACCGGTCACTACACTCCCCTGCCTTCCGGGTTTTCTCCCCTGAAGCGTCCCCTGGCTGAGTACATCCGTTACGGGATCATCAATCTCGACAAACCGGCCAACCCATCATCCCATGAAGTAGTGGCATGGATTAAGCGGATCCTCCGGGTCGAGAAGACGGGCCATTCCGGGACTCTGGATCCCAAAGTCACGGGTAATTTGATTGTTTGTATTGATAGGGCTACCCGGCTGGTTAAATCCCAGCAAGGGGCCGGTAAAGAGTATGTTTGTGTTGCTAGGTTGCATTCTGCAGTGCCTGATGTTGCTAAGGTGGCAAGGGCGCTGGAGACTTTGACTGGTGCTGTTTTCCAGCGTCCCCCTTTGATTTCTGCTGTTAAAAGACAACTTAGGATAAGGACTATTTACGAAAGTAAGCTTCTTGAGTATGATGCTGCTAGGCATTTGGTTGTTTTCTGGATTTCATGTGAGGCTGGTACTTATGTCAGGACTATGTGTGTTCATTTGGGTTTGTTGTTGGGTGTTGGGGGGCATATGCAGGAGCTGAGGCGTGTTAGGTCTGGGATTATGGGGGATAAGGATAATATGGTTACTATGCATGATGTTTTGGATGCTCAGTGGGTTTATGATAATTACAGAGATGAGAGCTATTTGAGGAGGGTTGTTATGCCTTTGGAAGTGTTGTTGACTAGTTATAAGAGGCTTGTTGTGAAGGATTCGGCTGTGAATGCTATTTGTTATGGTGCTAAGTTGATGATTCCGGGGTTGTTGAGGTTTGAGAATGATATCGAGGTTGGGGAAGAGGTGGTTCTGATGACCACCAAGGGGGAGGCTATTGCATTGGGAATTGCTGAGATGACCACAGCAGTCATGGCTACTTGTGATCATGGTGTGGTTGCCAAAATTAAGAGGGTTGTGATGGATAGAGATACCTATCCTAGGAAATGGGGTTTGGGACCCAGGGCTTCTATGAAGAAAAAGTTGATTGCTGAGGGGAAGTTGGATAAGCATGGAAAACCAACTGAGAGCACTCCTGCTGAATGGATGAGGAATGTAGTTTTACCTACAGGAGGGGATTCAGTGATTGCTGGCATGGCAGCTGTTGCTTCTGCGGAGCAACAAGGTGCTGTGGAAAGTGAGACTCCCGTAGCTGATGAGAAGAAAAGGAAAAAGAAACACAAGGACGGTGAGGAAGATGGGAATGGAGATGTTGGGCACAAACGAAAGGTTGATGAGATTGATGGTACCCCTGCCTCTGAGGAAAAAGAAAAGAAGAAGAAAAAGAAGAAAGAGGAAGGTGATGCAGTATCTGCTGATGGGGAAAAGTCAAAAGAGAAGAAAAAGAAGGATAAAAAGAAGGATGATTCTGCTCCATCCGATGAGGACAAATCTGAAAAGAAGAAAAAGAAGAAGCACAAGGGTACCGAAAATGGTGATTCTGTTTTGCCGGCGGCGTCAGGTGAGGATGAGGCATGTAAGAGTGCGAAGAAGGAAAAGAAGAAAAAGAAGAATAAAGATGCAGAGGAGGCTTAGCGTGGAAAATCCAGAATCTTAGTCCTCTGTTAAGCTGACCTGTATGATAGGTTATATATTATCTGCAGTAATGTGTAGAATTAGACATGCCCGCCACAGTTGAACCTTCTTTGCTAGATGTTTGATCTTTAGTTTCTAAGTTTTGTGTTTTTCCTTATTTTTTCTGTATCTTTTTACGTTTCTTGGGAGCTTGAATGCTTTGAGAACTGGAAGGCTTTCTGCGAATGAAACTATGAAAAGCATTCGGTATACTCTTGGAAGTATACCCCTGGATATTTCTTTTGTTAACATTTGCCCTTCATGAATTGTTGTTGCTTCTGCTTATTATCGAGAGCAGGTTCCCTCAAAAGACTTGGTCTTTGCAACCTATTATATTGGACATGAGGATTGATTTTATGGTGTAGTTACAGAAACTGGCTCAGTTGTTGTATACCATGGTCTTGGATGACTTCTGTAGCATCCTTCTATATGCATGGCTTACTGCATTTATCTTGTGCTAGTGAGGTGTTCTATGTGTCATTGTTCCACGAGGGAAAGCTTTGGCTCATGTTGAGTTTTGTTGGTCATGGTAATGTTGTAAGACAAATCGTGGCTATGGCTGGTCATAACTTCATTGGTTCGCGATCATATGCCGTGGTCTCACTGTCTCACCAAATATTAATACCTGGAGTGATATACTGATATCCCAGCAGTTTGTCAATAGCAATTGTTCACCTGCATATGAATTCCTTGTTGGCCGAACAGGGGTAGTAAATAGCGGCCAGCAATCCATTTGGACACTGACTTTGGCTTCTTTTCTTTTGTTCTTCAGTGTTGTACTTCTGTAATTTGATCTCTCAGTAATGCATCCCAATGTCTTCAGTGACAACTTGTTTAATTGGAGCTTCATTTTGTTGTCCTTGCCCTTTCCTTTAACGTCCATAGATGCTGAAAACCACGACGGAGTTTTGAAAGGGATCAACAAAAACTGGAGGCCACGGGTAATGGAAAATTTGTGTAGTAATTTGGATTTGTTGGTAACTTTTGCAATAATTGTCGTTTGAAGGAAACTCCGAGGTGCATTTCCCACTCACCTCTTAATGATGTGATGACATCAAGGATCTTCGGCTGCAATTTAATTCAATGATCTTCTGCTGCAATTTAGTGCAATTTACGGTGTTGCCAAGCTGCCATTATTTTTCTTTGATGCAGCTCCGAGTTTGTACCAAAACTCAAGTGCAGTAGGGGTTTCTTTTTCTGAACTGCAGGGGAGAGTTCTTAGGCTGCAACTTCAGGTATCCTCATTGACCAAATTTTGTCATTAGCTTGTGCGAAGCTGTGCCATATGCGAGAAAATTTTTTTCGTATCTCCTGATTTTGTTCAATGTGCGGATTATAGATGTGGTTTGGGAAGTCCGTCCCTCTTGGTAGGTTTGCTAATTGCCTGTGTTCTAATGCTACTTCATTCACCGCAAACAATGTAACTGATGGAAAGGACTTGAACTAAACTGAAACTATGAACTGCTCATTGACATTACTAATATGTGTAGATGCTGGTACTTTAGGCTGCTTTTGAATTCCTTTACTGCTTGAAGTTTTCAGGATAAAAAACTGATTATTTAGGTGATTCTGGTCTTGAACTGCATGTTGTTGGTTTATAATGGTAGACAGCAGCTCTCTGTACATCCTTAAACTAATATGAATTTGCCGCCTTACTGATATTACTTTTGTGGTTGTTATCAAATTCATAGTTCATTTCTTTTTAGTTCTCGTTGTTTTATGCTCTGTTCTAATGCTTTTCTATAGGATATGCTAAAAGCCTGAAAGAGACATATATTTGACTCCAGGTATTATATTCCGAAGTAAAAAAATTCATAGAATAGAACGATTGACGATCACATCTTTATCGAACTGACACTATCAAAGTTGACTCAACCATTTGAAATTAGCCAGGACGAAACCTCCAAAATACTTTGAGCATATCAATGAGCTGTAGTGTTACAATTGTTATCAGTACTGTTCTCCCAATCTGTATAAATTACTATTGCTTAGTCCATATTCTTTTCCCTATAATGCATCTTTACAAGTACACTTAATCAGCACTCTTTCAAACATTTTCTCTAACTTGATTCATCGACAGTATCAGCAATTTCTGCATTATGCTTCCGGTTTTTGTAGTAGCAGTGCTCATCTTGCATACTGCTCCTGTCTTTCAAACGGAAGCAATAAATGGCGCTGATTACTCCTTTGATCTTATGCATAGGGATTCATCGAGATCTCCTTTCTGCGATCTTTCCTTAACTCCACACGAGCGTCAGAAAAATGCTTTCCAACGCTCAAAAGATCGAATGAACTCTTTGATATCTACAAGTCTGCTTCCTAGTGGAGGCGAATACTTCATGAAAATATCATATGGAACACCACCATTAGACACACTAGCTTTAGTCGACACAGGCAGTACCCTGTCTTGGACACAGTGCCTACCTTGTCAACACTGTTTCAAAGATGATGTCCCCGTCTTTGCTCCGAAACATTCTTCAACCTTTGAGTTTGTTCCTTGTCATACAAAGGAATGCCTCCATACGGGAACTTCGTCATGTGATTTAAAATCAAACCGCTGCCCTTATGAATTAACTTACGGGATAGGTTTCATAACTAAGGGAGATGTAGTGATGGACACTATCACCTTGATCGGCGGTTCGAACTACAAAAATGTGTCATTTCCCAAATTTGTTTTTGGTTGCGGGAACAACCAAACTGGTCCGTTTCCAAGCTTGGGATCTGGCTTAGTTGGTTTCGGGTATGGGCATTCATCAATTGTTGAACAGTTGTATCCTTCAATCAAAGGCAAATTCTCCTATTGCCTGGGACCGGTAACAGGGGAGGATGTATCAAGATCAGGGAAACTCAATCTTGGTCCAAACGATGTGTTTTTAGGTGATGGTGTAATTTCGACACCACTTTCTTTGGAGTTGTTCTACGGCTTAACACTGGAAGGGATGAGTGTGGAAGATGTATCCTTCAACCGTACTAATAAGTCGAACCCACATTCAAAGCGCGTCATTGTTGATTCAGGAACCACCATTACTTATCTTCCTCCAGTACTCTACGGAGATCTTGAATCAGCCGTGAAGCAAAAGATTAACATGGATAAATTGATTGTGCCTGATCCAACAAAAACGTTTAGGTTGTGCTACTCTTCTTTAGAAGGCGTTCGTCTTCCCACCGTCACATTACATCTCAAAGGTGCGGACTTGGTATTGAACTCAGTGAACACTTTCGTAAGTACCTCGAATTCTTCCATTTGTTTAGCTTTTAGGGATGCTGGGGCGGATATCACGGTTTTGGGCAACATACAGCAAGTGAGCTTTTGGATCGAATATGACTTAGAAAAGAAGGTTGTATCCTTTAAGCCTTCTGATTGTACCTCAGAACAGTAGTAATTCTGCTTAATGAGGAAGACGATGCTTTGTTCTGTTAATTTATATGCTTATGCTTCGGGAGAGCTTAAATGCTTTGAGAATTTGATAGCCATTTTCAAATAAAACTTATCAGGGCACTTAACATTTTGTCTTCTCTCGATGATTACTGCTTCTTTTCTTCATTCTTTAGCAGGTTTCGAGTGTTACTTCTTGGACTTGAGTCATTTTAAACTTAAATTTGTTGGAAATGAGGGTTCACTTCATGCTGTACCTGTGGAAATCGCGCAGTTTTTGGTGTATTTTCTAACCATCGTTCTGTATAGCCCTTGTGCCTTGATTCTTTGATACTGGAGTAGGGTTCGGATGCTGATTTTTTTCCAGTGGGAAGTTTGCTTTCGTCCTTAAGTTATCTGGTTTGAAGTAAATTGCAAGAGGAATCTTGGCTATGCATAGGCATTGCTTGTTCTATTCACGGCGATAAACAACAAGAGTTATTCTATATATATGTTAATTTTGCTTTGATTTTAGCTGTTAATTTGGTGATAACACACTGGAGTTTGTAGCTAATGTGATAATATGCTACTATTGTCTTTTGATTTAAGCGGTAAAGTTTCCACTTCTTTACCTTCATCTTGGAGGTTCTTGCTTGCACAAGTTACTGATGGTTGCGGCAAGTCAAAACCTATTTCGGAGTAGGGGCTAAAATGAGAGAGATTTCTAGAAATTTTGCCCAATTGAAGAACCTGGAGGCAGGAAGGGGGAAAGTCGACAATCAGGTCGACGACATGCGACACGCCTTTTATGGTTGAAGCTCACCATCTTAGTTGTCGACTTTTACATTGAAGCTCACCATCTTAGTTGTTGACTTTTACAGAAATGAGAGTCAGAAAGAATAACAGCAGTGATTTGCAGTTCTTTTCTCAATTGTTTTCCATACATTAAAGATTAATAAAAATCAGTGTTTAGAATATTTGCGTTCCACAAATTCTGGAAATAATGCGATTGAAATTCCGAACAAAAGGGAATTATTTTTACCTTGTCTAGAATCAAACTGTTATTATCTTTCAATTCAAATTCCAGGTGACTCAATTAGTCGATTTTTCCTAAAAACCTAGTACACTGTTCAGAACTGAGGAATATCGTATCTACCCAAAAATCCATGGCGGGCAGTGGCAAAATCACGAGAAGAACCCGATCATTGAAATTGGCAGATGAGATTATGCACCTAATACTGTCTTACCTCACAACCGCAGAAGCAATCCGGGCCGGCAGCTTATCCAAGGATTGGTACAGGGCACTTCGGACCCTTCCCTATTTGGTTAACTGTACAGATGACAACCAGTTTACTAGTGAACTAAATTACATCGTTTCCACTTTGAAAAGGTACCGCCATGATCCAAATGTTGGTCTACATACTTTCAAACTGGATTTATGCAGGTCAAGATTCGATTGGTCCAATGATAATCGTGTCCGTCAGTGCATCATAATTGCCGCTGAGAAAGGTGTGAGAAACCTAACTTTATCCAATGGAATAGGAACTTCGTTTGATTTGCCTGTATCAGTTTTAGAAGCCAAATACATAGTTGAATTAAGTCTAAGACATTGCCGTTTGATGTATCACGAGAGATTAATGTGGTGGCATAATCTCAAACGTCTTCATCTTCGCGGCATTGATATAGATCGGTTGGTGTTGGAGAATATACTCAGGAGCTGTCTTTTGATTGAAGCCTTGGACATTTATTGTTGCTCAGTTTTGAACCGAGTCCTGGGGCAGAATTTGACGTGCCTAACCTTGTTCTCTTTCAATATCAAGGGAATTTCAATCCGAGGTTTTCATTTACAAGGGCCTCATCTAGATGCACATCTCGCCTCTTCATTAGCTCCGCAGATTTAGATACTAAATGGTTTTTGAAATTTGAAGGAATTCCTTACCAGAGTTTGTAGGTTGGAACTCCATATTAGTGTTCTCCTTGGAGATACTGCAGGTTTCAATTTAGATGAAGCAGCGAAACATGCCAGACCTCTTGAAGTTGAAGAGATTGCAGAATTTTGGGTCATCACATCGCCACGAGTTGAACAAATCCGGCCAGGAGATTTTGAAGCATTAGCTCAATCAATCATCAATGGCTTCTTTTGGATTGGTCGTCCTCGGGCGATAAAAATAACGGAAATGGATTCGCAGCAGCTTGGATATACAGAGTCACTGTACAAGCTGCTAGTTTTAGGAAATAAACCATATTATTTCTTTTCACGGATATGGTATGTTTTGGGAGAACTGTTTGAAAGGTATTGAGATATTCCATTCCAAACTGGATCGGGGAATGCAGATGGACATATCAATGGATTGGAATCGCTTTTCAAGGGCATTAAGAGCTAAAAAATGTTCAGAGATCACTGTTTGCTTCAACTTGGAGAGGAGACCTGATTTTCATAAGTTTTTCTAGATTTCAGTCTGATAATTTTCGTTCAAAACCTACTGTCATTATCTCCCTGATTTTAGTTCCATATTAGTTCTTGAAGCATTCGATCAAACAATAACAAAACTCGGTACTCGTAACAGAAAATCTAGGTTTAATGAACTGTTCATTGCAGTAACAAGAGGTACATTGTCCCAAATGGACTTCTATATTTTTGATGATTGATTTATTCTGTCTAATATTTTGCCCAAATCGTTTACTTGTCGTAATGAAGTTTCATTTGTTGCAGTAATGATATTTTTTTGAAAGGAATACTTATAGTCTCCTTTCGACGAAATTGAAAGATCAAGTTTTCAACTTTCGGTTAACACAGATTCCTAATCTCCAACGATTGGATTAGTTTTTGCCTTTGCCCAAACCTTTTTTTTTTTTAACAAACGGAACTTTTTACTCTAAGATTTTCAGTGTTATTCTTCCCCTACCTTTCAGAGCAGAGGTCAAAATCCATACCGGATGCCGAAAACTGCGAGGTTATGGGAAGCCGAACCACATCGGAATTGCCTGATGAAATTGTGCACGTTATACTGTCCTGCCTCACAAATAAAGAAGCCTTCCATATTTGGTTGTAGATGAGACATCAATCGCCGCCGACGAGGAAATACGTTCTGGATCGGATTCCGATGACCGGCTTGTGGATTCCCCAGCATGCTCCGGAAAGTACTCTAAACAGCTCGAGCTCGTGCCGCATTCTTGGAAGTAACAACTTAATTCCCAATTACATCCAATTAATCACACATCATTATTATCTTCAATCATCATCATTCCATCATTTGTTATTTCTCATAAGGCATTGATTCAAATTACTTAAAAAGAGTTTTGCCTATGTACATCTTCTCAATTTATGATTGATTCAAGTTGGAAAACCTCAGTTCACAGTAAGTAGATAGCTAATGGTATCGAAAGGTGCAACATTGATGATATGTGAACAGTATGTTGTAAAGAGCTAAAAAAAAGTTCAAGAAAGCACAATTAATATAATGAATCTCTAACACTTGATTTGTTAAAAAGTACAACCAAAAAAGAATGATTGCACCAGATTGACTCCAGCAAAAAGATTATTTGCTAAATGGATTTCTTCTGCAAGACTGTTTGTATGTACTTCTCTTTCTTATATTACATGGAACTGAGTCTTTAAAGTTCTTTCGTTAGTTAGGATCAAAAGCGGAAAGAATAAACTTGCTTCAAATCAAATTAATTTGAAGAAGTGCATGAAATTCTCTAGACTTGTTTGGCCAACATTTTGTTTTAGTTTTTGTTTTGGTTTTTGATTTGGGTTTGATATGTGATTTAAAATGTGGTTTGAGATAAAATTTAAAAAATTATTTGGGTGATATTTTAAATAAACTAATAATATTTTTAGACCATCACCGGACCACCTCCGCCGTCGGACCGCCACCGGCCGGCCGGATTCTGGCCAACTCGCTGGAATTTGGCTGGAATCCAGCCGGCCGGTCGTCGGCCAGCGGCGGTAGGCGGTCCGGTTGCGGCGGGTGATAGTGGAGGTGGTCCGGTGATGGTGGATGAAAATTGTGTAAAAATAATTTTTAGGATATTTTTTAAAAGGTAAATTAAAAAGTTGTTTGGAAAGTTGTTTTTTAAAAAGTGGTGGATAGTTTGGACAGTGTAAAATTTCGGGTCAAAATCACAATAGACTATCTCCTTGGCGGCTTTGTTTGCCAGATTCTCAACTCCAATATCTGAGCACTTTGTCGGTTTCCGAGATGGTAATTGATGACAAATTTCTTATTGAGTTGTCACAAAAATTCCCGCATATTGAAGATTTCTCAATCATAAGCTGCTGGTGTAAGAAAACAATTAAGATTTCAAGTGGCTCTTTAAAGAAACTAAAGCTGGCACCTAACTCAAAATTCACGGAGGCACAATTTGACTAGCATTTTTCTCTTTGAATATGAAGGACATGGAATTCCAAGATTTTCATTCACACCGGCCTCGGTTACATGGAAATCACGCCTCAAATTTGGTGAGATAATCGCGTTGGCACTTCATGGTTTTCGGAACTCAAGGGAATCCCTGGCAAGACTATGTAGGTCCGAAGTTTATATTACTGCTTACTTTAATGATAATGTAGCTTTCCGTTTAGATGATAAAGAGACGGTGAAAACACACTTTGCATTGATGTATACAAGATATATTTATACACATAATTTACTGGGATACTAAATCCTAATCGTAATAATAAACATAACTATTTCCTAATTACATCTTTACTCCCCCTCAAGTTGGAGTATGTAAATTCTTAATGCCCAATTTGCTAATCAAGGTATGAAACCTATCTCGGCCTAAAGCTTTAGTGAATAAATCTGCTAGTGAGTCCGCATGCTGTTGTTTCATTGGAGTGGAACATGGACGACAGCCAGTGTGTCCGCATTCGGACAAAATGTCAAGAGTATATTTCCTTTGACTAAGAGCAATCCCAACGGATGATCGGGCTACCTTAATACCCAAGAAATACTTAAGGGGGCCAAGATCCTTAATATGAAAATGACCATGAAGATTTTTCTTAAGTCGACCAATCTTAAGAGAATCATTTCCAGCCACAATTATGTCATCAACATAGATCAAAACGGCAATAAAAGAGGTACCACTAGTGTAGATAAACATGGATGAATCTGAAGAAAACTCCTTGAATCTAGAAGAAACAGGTGACTGAGTAAATTTCACGTACCAATTCCGGGAGGCTTGACGCAAACCATACAGAGACTTCTGAAGATGGCAAACACGTTGCTCCCCCTTTGTGGCAAAGCCATGAGGAATTTTCATGTATACTTCCTCATGAAGATCACCGTGGAGGAAGGCATTAGTGACATCAAGTTGATGGAGTTCCCAATTACGAACCGAAGCAACAACAAGTAAGCAACGAACAATCACTAATTTGGCAATAGGAGCAAAAGTTTCATGAAAATCAACCCCCTCAATCTGTGTGAATCCCTTGGCAACCAGAGGCATTTTGTAGCGCTTGACACGGCCATCAGGGAGAAATTTAATCTTGTACACCCATTTGGAATCTATGGCCCGATTGCCAGGAGGCAAGGAAACGAGCTGCCAAGTATTATTAGCTTCAAGAGCAGAAATCTCTTCAGCCACGGCATCTCTCCAAAGTGCATGTTGAACTGCCTGTGAAAAACTGGTGGGCTCATCCACAGAAGAGATGGCCGCTAACAAGGCAATGTAAGCTTTAGAAAAGCGAGAATAGCACAAAGTCTGAGAGAGAGGATGTACCATCGAGTTGACTGATGGTGAGGTAGAGGACGATGATGGATTACGAGTGGACTGGAGAGAGGGTGGTAGAGTATACTGATACCCAGAGAGGCATTGGGACACTTGTCGAGGACGTTTGGAAGGAAGATCCGACGAGGATGTGTCCTTTAGAGGGGATGATGATGGAGGAGGATCAGGGAAATCATCAGAGGATGGAGGTGGCGGAGACAAATTAGGAGCTACGGGAGAATAAGGATCAGCTGTAGAGTGAGTAAGATCAATCATGACGGGGGATGGAGCAGAAACAGTTTGAGAAAGACCCGAAATAGAGGGAAAAATGTTTTGAAAGAAAATGCCATCGCGAGAAGTATATATCTCCTTACTATCAAAATCATAAACCCAATACCCTTTTTGGCCATGTGGATATATAACCAACAAAAATCCTCGAACGACCTCTAGATGCAAATTTATCCCTAGGTTTGGCAGAAACATGAGCATGACACGAACACCAAAACTACGCAAGTGATCATAAGAAGGCGAATGACCATATAAAAGCTCATAAGGAGTTTTATTTTGTAATACAGAAAGAGGCATGCGATTAATCAAGTAAGCAGCAGTGAGAATACATTCATCCCAAAACCCAACAGATAGATTTGCTTGAAAATGGAAAGCCCTAGCTACTTCTAAGAGATGTCGATACTTGCGTTCAATGACACCATTTTGTTGAGGAGTATGGAAACAACTTGTTTGTTTTTCAATGCCAAAAAAATGGGTTAACAAAGAGGAATGATTGAATTCAAGACAATTATCAGTGCGAAAAGTCATAATTTTAGCATTGAAATGCGTATGCACCTAGTTGAAAAATAATAGCAAGTAACGCTTAGTTTCAGATTTGGAACGCATAAGAAAAACCCAAGTAGCTTGACTACGATCATCAACAATAGTAAGAAAATAATGTACATCAGACTTAGACGGAGTGTGATAAGGTCCCCAAATATCACAATGCACTAAATCAAAATTGTTCATACTATAAGTTTGATGCAAAGAAAATGGTAAACGAGTTTGCTTAGCTCGACAATAGGCATCACAAACAGATGTGCCAGAATTATTATTAAAAGAAACAGAAATGCTAGGAATCAAAGAAAGATGGGTAACCAGAAAATGACCCAAACGACGAGGCCACAAGGTTGTTGTATCGCCTTTGAGAGTTGAGAGGATCCAGCATTCACCACCTAACTTCATTGGCTCTAGATAGTATAATCCATCGCGCACTCTACCTATTCCAATCAGCTTCCTCGAGGTTAAATCCTGGATAAAAAATATGTCAGGGCCGAAGGTGAAGAAGCAATTCAAATCACGGGTCAATCGACTGACAGAGATCAAATTGAACCGAAAATTAGGCACCCCCAAAACACTATCAATTATCAAATTATCATCAAGTGTTATCCGACCAACTGCTTGAACGGGAACCTTTTCACCATTAGGAATTTGAACCGAAATAGAATCACAAGGAAATGAAACATCCTTCATCAATTGCAATTGATTGGAAGCATGATCGGTAGCTCCCGAATCACACGCTAATCAACTGGCTTACCCGACGAAGAGAGGTTGTTCATGTTGGAAAACTTGGCCGCGACATCATTGGATACTTGCTGTCCAAGCATCTGAAAAAGCTGCTGAAGCTTGCCAGCCGAGAGAGACCTCAGAGAAGCTGGAGCAGCCGGAGGAGAGTCCGCCACAACAGCAAGAGTCGAAGCAGCAGCGCTGGAATTGTTGCGCGCGCGAGACTGCTGATCGCGTTTCTGTCGGGGTTGGCGCTAGCCGACTGGATACCCGACGAGTTTGTAGCAGTGCTCCTTGGAATGGTTAGCACGCCCACAGTTGCTGCAAGGAGGCTTCGAATGGCCAGGATCAGAGGAATCACGCCGGGCAGAAGACGATTTCATGGCCAAGGTGGCAGCTTCAACGACGGGCAGTCGTGAATCAGCAAGTCGACGTTGCTTTTCATCACTAGCAACGATGGCATATGCACCTCCAAGAGTCGGCAGCGGATCGACACTGAAGATTTGTGAACGAACTGTCTTGTACGTGCCATCAATCCCCTTAAAAAAATCAAACACCTTCTCCTCCTCATGCATGGTCTGAAGTTGTTTGTTGATCTCACAAGTGCAGCCGCCGCAATCACCAGCCGGAAAAGGACGGAGATTCTGCAACTCGCTCCAAATTGCCTTCAGTTTGCCGTAGTACGTTGATGCGAGGGAGCGTTCTTGCTGCAGCAGGGCGATGGAACGCTTCAACTCATATATGCGAGGAGCCAAACCCTGAGTGAAGCGTTCATCAAAATCCACCTAGATCACGCGAGCTGTGGGGGTGTGAGTCGCCTCCGTTTGCAGCTCCTTGCAAACGGCATTGAGAATCTAAGATTTTATCAATGCATTGCATTGAATCCAGGGCTGAAAACACACTTTGTATTGATATATAAAAGATATATTTATACACATAATTTACCGGGATACTAAACCCTGATCGTAATAGTAAACATAACTATTTACTAATTACATCTCTAGATGATGTGACAGAAGATGCCTCCTGTTTTGAAGTTGGCGAGATTGCTGAATTTCGTTTCACGCCACCACCAGATTATGAAGAATCAACTCGTGCAATCCTCAATGGAATCTTTTGGACCTGTGGCCCTCGTGTGATAACAACAGAATGTAGATATACAGAGTCATTGTACAAGTCTCTGGTGCTCGGAGACGAGCTTTACTATTTCCGGTCACCAAAAGGTACGGTTTGGCGGAGTAGGTTGGAAGGTATTGAGATCCTAGATTCCAAACAATCTGGTCGCCGGGGTATGAAGTTGGACAAAGTACTGGATTGGAATGACATCTCGAATGCTTTAGAAGCTCAAAATGATTCGAATTCGAGTATTACTGTTGGTTTCAACTTGGAGTGGGAAACTTGTGCATCAGCATTACCCTAAACAGTTGATAGTTATTGTGTTGAATCTGACATATCTTTTTTGTTTTGTTATTCCTGGAATGAGTGAGAGCAGTCAGAGTTACTGCAACACTTTTTACCAACACATTATTTTACATCATTATGATCTTTATTGATCAATATTCAATCATTGTTAGTTAATTCTAATTACTTGAGATCGATTAGAAAATCTTAAACTATCCGCGGCCCGTATATGTTTGTCTTTCTCAATTTGATTCATAATTTTTTTCTATTCGATCCATGAAACTCGAAAGTGATTGATTGCACCAGCAGTTATTGACTCCTGGAAGTAGATAACTTGCTTGCTGGATTTGTTCCCCCCTCCTTTTTTTTTTTAAAAGTCTTTTGCAGAAGTTAAACAGCTAGCAAAACGAGGAAGTGATTAATTTGCCCGAAATCAAACAATCGCCCCTTGGGCTACTTTGCTGGTGGGGATGTGATGGTGAGACGTGGGGAGCATAATATTTGAGATTTAGAAAGTTGGCCGGAAATATTTTTATTATTTCTTTTATTTTTTTAAAAAATAATTTTTTGATAAAAAACCTATAAGACCCACGATCCATTAAGTAATCGATAAAAAAATAAAGATTTTAAAAAAATGAATTGGGCCATTAAGTTCTTGAAAATTCTGTTAAAGTGACTAAAATAGTTAAAAACAGATAATAGGGGAATGATTTTTTTGTTTTAAAATACATTGCGAGTCCTAGTTTAGTAAGAATAAAAAATAAAAAATAAAAAATTTTAACGAAAAAAAGAGTTGACCGTTAGTTGACCATACATTCTATTAAATTGACTAAAATTGGTGAATAAATGAAAAGACAAGAACTAATTTCGTCCATAAAAAATTAATGATGACACGAAGTTGTGACCCTGATAGCCTAATTACGCAAGTTGTTGATTGGCACTCGATAATCGTCATAGAAAACCAAATATGCAAAAACCGAACCACCACACGCATAAATCTCATTTCGTTAGTAATATTTAGGTATCTCCAAAGATTATTAGGTGTGTTCTAAAACCGTATCTCCTTTAATTTCATGGTATTGTTTAAGAATACGATAAATACAATTCAACATATATTCTTTCTATATTCGTTCTAAAATAATTATCTTATTAGATTTTTTTTATTTTTGATATAATTTGTGCTATAAATGGAAATTTAAACCGGACAATTTTTTGGAGTAAGAAAGTATGTGTTTCTTTGTTATTAAAAAAAAAGACTTCTTTTTTCAGGGGTTGTTTCTTTTGGGATATTTTTCTTGGGGGGTGAGCCGTTGGGGGATGGTCAGTGGAGAGGATGGGGAAATTAAAAGGAGAAGAAAATAAGTCGGAATTACTGGCATATTTACTACACATTTGCTCTGTTTCACAATGCTATTCATATTTTTTTAAAAAACGATTAGAAAATGACAACTTTTTTGGGAAGGAGGAATAATTCAAAATAGCCCATAGTGATCGTATCCATAGTCGTAAAAGTTAGGATTCATTGCGCCCAAATCGTATCCAAGCCCATATCTCATACTGATGATGAAAAATAATCCAGAGCCATCATTATTATGTTCTTCCAGAGCAAAACGGGAAGAAGAGTAATTAGCTATAATGATCAGCCATTGCATTTCCAGGATTGATCCATCACGATTTACTTCAAGTCCCTCATAGAATCCCTTAATTGTTCAAGGTCAAGTAATTCAAGCTCATCAATTGGGGATCCCCACGAGTAATGATTCTTCTAGCTTTCGACATCAAATCAATTGCTTCACCCCTGTTCTTCTCTGTTTCCCGTTCGTTCACAATTTGTGCCGGCAGGGGATTCAGCTCCTTGATTCTCTTCGAATTGGAATTGGAATTCATCGTCGTTATTGTCCGTGTATGATATTGATCAACCTGGAGATGGGTTTTGTTTCTGAACATGAACTTTTCAACAGTGTAATCAACATTAGGATTACCAAAGATGAAAACTTTTCCTCGAGGAACAATTTAAAGGGGCTGAAGTTGACTTGTTAACCTGTTGAAAATAAATTCTATTCATTGACATTTTTCATTTGGTTAATAATCATGAGGATAATTGTCTATAATTTGGGGAGTCATTTTTTTTATTTTGAAAGCAAAATTTTTACCAATTACTAATATTACCTTGTATAAGATTTTCAATGAATATGGGAGGATATGCTATGCTTGCCACCTCTTTTTGGACGGGTTGTAAATATAGTGTCGATTAAAATTATCATTATTTTCCTTAACGTAATCAAAAGTGCTTTCTGTAACGTTTTCATTACGAAATTGTATATGCCATTTGATTCTAGAGTTTGAATATATTTCAAAATGAAGAACCATTACTTCATATATATTTTTAAGTAGACGGAGATATTTGCGACTTGTGATTATTTATACATTGACTAGTTGGAGTAGACGAGGTTCGCCTGTACTCCATATATCTTATATTAACGCTATGTATACATAAATTTGAAAAGTAATGAGTAAGGAAGATTAAAATAAATGAAGATGACACAAGTAAGAATAAAACTTTTTGATCCCATACTTACAAAATTAGTAGCATTTTAATTTGATATTTAGCCTTTCACTATTGCTAATGATGAGGACAACAAAGCTTTTTGAGTTTTTTTTTTTTTGGTTAACAAATCATAGAAATATGAGTCTTAGTTCAAACCTATAATTCTATCCTTTTCATTATCTATTCATAAAACTAGTTACTCGGAGCAACATCAAAAGAAAATACGCCCCTCCTAACTGTAAGAGCCTCTTTTGCAAGGAACAATGAAAATAAAAATTAATTAAAAAGAAAATAAATGAAGAAGAAAAGACATTAACAAATTCAAAGAGGTTAGAATCACCACAACCGTTTTTCAACCAATCAAATTCACCTCATAATGAGAAATTATTTTTGTAATCTTAAAAATAAAAATTAATGGTTAAAAGCATCGAAACCGTTTTTAGACGGATTGAATTTACCTAAAAATGAGAAATAATTTTTTTGTTATGTTAAAAACAAAAATTAATGAAAGGGAGATCAAAGGGTCATCATATTGTTTAATAATAAAGGACCACTTATTATTATAAATTTAGATATAAGTGAGTAATTTATTATCATTAAATTAAATATTATGGCAAATAAGTGAGCTAATAATAATAAAATAAATGGGAAAATGTTTATTGAAAAATACTTTTGACTAAATTAAATGAGTGACTACAAAATCAATCAATTGCAAGCAAAACGTTTAAGCAAACAAATAAGTGGAAGGACTACCAAACTCTAAAAATTATTCAGCAATTATAATATAGTATGATGAATAGAAAAATCTATGCCCTTAATAAAAATTTTGGTTTTTCTAATTGCCTTAATGGTAATTTTCCCTTTTCTTTTTTTTAAAAAAATGTAATTTTGGTTCTTTAGAGTAATTACTACTAGATCGATGTTTATTAGGTTGGTTATATCGCACATTACAAATGTGTCCATTGCTGAAAATTTCAAGAATAAAATTAAGAGCCAAGTGATATTGTTCCTTTGAGTAAAAAAACATGACATGGATGATTCGGATAAACTTTTCTGCTGTCTCTAAATGATTATCTGGTATAAATTTTCATTTCGAGACAGAAAATAATATATTCCCCGTGACAAGTGAAATTACATGATATCTTGTATTATTTTTACAATTATCCCCTTTACAATAATCTGTCCCAAAAATAAACAAAAATACTCCAAATCATACAATTTCGTTATTCTTGTTTAACCGATAGATATAAACAAAACTAATTGTTAAAAGAGTTAGGAAAATTTTATGAGCTGGAAACCCTTTGCTAAAGTAACATTAATGTCTTAAAAGTCTGGATAAAAAAAGATCACTAGCTGTAGACATCAAACAAAAAAAACTGCCAAGTATACATTTTGTTGCAATAATCAGTCATTGTGTTTATTACCATGCATCCAACTCTTTTCCCATAAATTTGTGAACGTTACGGATAGCTAATCTTAAGTGAATTCTTAAGTAAAATGATTATTGCAGCAAATGAGCTCCCCATGGATGCGGGAACCATGCACATATATGATATGAAGAATTCACAGTGAAATTAAAAAAAGAACTCTATACATGATCATGAGGACGGAGCTTCAAAAATTCAAACGTCTTTTCAAGAAGTTCAATAAAAGAAAAAAGAAAACCCTAGGGAAACCTTCTTCAGAATTTAATTGACAAATCTTGGACCACTAATACCAACTCGATAAACCCGCAATGAATGAGGGGAGGACCATATATAATTCTCATTCCTCAATAATATAGCTCAGTAGTTAGAAAGCAAATCAATAAAATTCAGTAAATTTGATCACTTCGTCGTCCGACAACTTAGAAAAAAATAAGTAAATAAATAAAGATGGCAATATAAATGACACTGTGTATCAAACTGAAAACCGATGAAATCTCATTGCCTATCCCTTGATTTCTTCCTACTCTTTTTTTGTAATGATAAAGAAAAAGGCATGCTCACATTTCTCTGTTTAATCGGAGAAGAATCAACGATTTTAATACATCATATTTTAAGGGGAAATACTTGACATGAAAAATCTGACACGAATGATTCATATGGTTAATTATATTGATAAAAGAAAATTTCAATCACAGCACAAACACAAATCATAATATAACGACTAAAGAACCAAATTATCGTCCATGATAAATATGTGTGTTATCTTCGAATCTTCATTATTGGTTCGCAGAAAAAACAATAACAATAAATTTGATCAGAAAAACCCATGACTGTATCCAAGGGTAAACCCTTGAGGAGTCATGGAGAGACCAAGACCAAGAGGAACCTTCACATCAGGAGGATGATGATGAACCACATTGCTAGGACTATTATGCCCTCCTCCCTTCGAACTTGGTGCCCCTAGAAATGCTCTCGTATTGGAGACTTGAACGGTCAACTTCTCTACTTGCTTTGCAACGTTCTTTTTCAGCTCCTCCATGGCTACTTTTAACTGCTCCAGTTCATCTTGACCAAGTTGATCAGTAGGAGCCTCCCACCAACATCTCCCTTGACTCGCTTTTCGCAAGTTGGAGAATTCCTCGCTGTACTTTCGCTCGATCTCTAATTGATTAAGCATCTCTGTTAGTTGCTTATTGAGTTCCTGGATGCTCGCACTTCGGTGAGCCTCAACTAGTTGGGAGCTACTTGTACTTGGAGCTGATTTTCCAGTTAGGAAACGGTCGATCAACGAGTAAAGACATGGATGGCCATATGAAAATACCTTTTTTCCCGGAGAAAAAACGATTATCCCGATCTCAATACCACATAAGGTATGGAGCTCATATGCTTTCTTGAATAGTCCAGAACGACGCTTTGAGAAAGTAACAAGTAAGTTGCTTTCTTTTGACATTCTTGTCATTTGGATCTTTTGTCGTCCCTTGCTCTTCCTTGCCATTGGTAATCTAAAGTAATGAAAACACAAGAGAAGGAATTATATCATGAATGGGGGTTTCAAAGGGAATATATATGTGGTTTTTTTTTGAAAATAACATTTGAATCCTTGAAGATATTTGCTACCATTTATGTTGTGATTGATGATTTTTTATTACCTTCCTAGCTGTCATTGATAATTTAGCTTTGAATTGATAGAATGCCATCATGAAACAGCTTATCACGGTGCTAAAATGGGTAATAATAGATATCAATATGAATATATCACATTTTGTCCGTTACAGCCAGATCTTTTATCATCTCGTCATCTTGAAAATATTTTAATTTTAATACTAATCTTTTTTGGTTAAAATACTACTCAAACTTCATTATTAGTTCAATTTGATCTTTTCAAAGATTTGCTCAAAATTGAGGCTTACAACACAGTATTACAAATTACTTGACAACTTTGATAATGTTCACTGTACTAAGTTTGAACAAATAAAAAATTGACTGGACAAATTGAAACTTTTTCAAACTTCTGGATCCATTTTCAAATGTAAACGTTTAAAATTGTATCCTGGTCCTTGCACAATTTTATTTTCTCCGTTCTTCATTTTCACCGTGAAAATTATTTGACACGAGATCTATATTTGGAAATTTGTGAGATTTTTTTATAAAATATATGAGCTCATCGGTTATTACTTCTTTATAAACTTTGCTAACACGGCATACCAGATAAGCAAATATCTCCCGTCTAAATAAAGAATGGAATACAAATTATCACAGCGATTAAAGATGCCAATGAACAAGTCCATGTCGTGTAAGTTAAATTTTGTGTCCACTTCTTTCTGAATTCTAAGCTTTGAATCCTGAGAAATTTACTCTTTATTGCTTAGAGTTTTGAATGAATCATTTACGCACAATTTCTTCAAGAAACTTTCTCTTGAACGAATGAAAATTTTATATCTGGCTGATGAGTTAACCAAACTGTTTTTAACTTTTTATAAAAGGTTCACTAAGAGTAAGAGGAGATGAGTGACAATGTTGATGGAATCTGGAAGCAAATCCTCCACCAAAAGAGAATTTCTGAAAAAAAAAAAGATAAAATAAAAAGGGTTGTAGAATTACTAAAAAGATATGTACAGTTTTCACACAACAATTTAAAAATTAATTAACTAGTATTTTTTATGATTTAAAAATATTACTCCCTCTGTCTCAAAATTATTGTCCAGTTTGAGATTTCACTTTTAGTATAATTTGAACTAAAAATGAAAAGCTAAACTGGACAATAATTATAAGAGAGAGAGTAATAAGCAATTTAAGAGAACTAACTTCTCGTGGCATGCGTAATGAAAACAATTATATTAATATATGTGAATTGTGAGACCATGTCCTTTGTGGCTTTGTTTTTTAGTTTTCTCTCACGAATCAGACTTTCATACTTTCTTCGAAATTGACATACTCGGTGTCGATATCCAACTTGTATTGAACAAAAAAGAAATTCCCCGATCTTTCCTAAGAGCCGGCAAATTTTGTCTCAACAAGGTTAACACATGTGTAAGCTGAGCGGCTAAAAATCAAGCACCTTTACACGCTTAGAACTTACAAAACTAAGAGCTGTACTATATAAATACTATACATTAAGTACTCTTTGAAATTATGGATTATAGTTCCAATTTGCTTTGTAAATTATGGCAGAAGAAGTGAAGCTATTCAGGACATGGTCCAGTCCATATGCTTTGAGAATTGTGTGGGCATTGAAGCTCAAAGGCATCGAGTTTGAGACTATTTTTGAAGACATTACAAACAAAAGTCCTCTGCTCCTCCAGCATAATCCTGCTCATGCCAAGGTCCCTGTGCTCTTGCACAATGGAAAACCCGTCTGCGAATCACTCATAATTCTCGAGTACATCGACGAGACATGGACGCATAATCCTCCTCTGTTACCTCAAGATCCGCTCGAGAAAGCCTCATCGCGTTTTTGGGCACATTTCGGAGATCATAAGGTATGTACGCAAACATGTCTGTCTATAACTTGCGTTTTAAATTATTAAACGCGTTTAAAAATTATTGGGCCAGTCTATTAGAGCGAAGTAAGAGTAAGATGCCTTACAAAAAAATTATGCGTAACTCGTACTATTTGTGAAGTTGGACTTAGTTAGAGACTACACTAAAATGGCGAAATTCGACACTTTTGTTGCTGTTGTAGCTGATGGAATCAATATGGAATGTGTTCACTTCACAAGGGAAAGAACAAGAGGAGGCAATGGCTACATCAATTGAGAATCTAAAACTCATCGATGAGCAACTAAAGGGGAAGAAATTCTTCAATGGAAACGCAATTGGGTACCTTGATTTGGCACTTGGTTGGATGGCAAACTTGATCAGCATCCTGGAAGAAATTATCTCTGTAGAATTGATACATACAGATAAATTCCCTCATTTATCATCATGGATCCAAAATTTCTCGGATGATCCAGTCATCATAGAATGTTGGCCGCCAAGAGACAAAATGGTCACTAAATTCCAAATCATGCGTGACAATTATCTCACAAGGAGCATCTGCCAAGTGAAGCCTGCCTAGCTAGATTCTCAAAACAACTTCTTATTCTAATACTAGTGTCTTGTTTATCAAAATAAAATAATCAGACAAGCATATTTCTTTTAGAGCTGGCAAGAATACCCACCGACTTACTATCCATCCGAATCTATTAGACTTTAGTCCATAAAGGTCCATCCATTTAAAATGTTGGGCTTGGGTGGATCTGGACAAAAAGTTGTTTGGATGGGTGTAAATAATCTACGGTTACTCATCGGGTAGTGTATTGGATTTTCAAACTATACAATCATCATTTAAGTAGGCCATGACCCGATTCAACCAACTCATTTAAGGAAGGATCATATACGGGCTGGGTCGTGACGACTTGGCGCGGGTTATGAGTCAACTGGTTTACTATAAAATTTTTACCCGCGGGTTGATCCATACATAAAATTACTTTTTAACAATAGTATATCTTATAGCTTAATGGATTTCAAATTTTTACATTTACGGCAAGTATAACTGGGTCAACCCATGCATCGAGGTGGGTCGACCCAGTAACCAGGTTATGTTACACGGGTCGAATTTTTATTTTTTGTTCAAATGAATTTTACACTTGTATTTTCTAACTCATTCAAGTTCGACTTCATGTTTTGAGCCATATTAAACTGGGTCGATCCATGAGTCATGTCGGATCGACCGAGTAACCGAACCACAGTACATGGATCGAATTTTGATTTTTAAAAAAATAAAGTACAACTATGGATTTTTAACTTTGGAGACTAATAATTATATTTTCTACGAAGTTTTACCGATCGACCCATTGATCGACCCATGAATCGAGTTGGGTCCATCCAGCAACTGGGTCGTGATACGCGGGTCGATTTTTTATTTTTTGTTAAAAAAAATGTTTACATTTTGTATTTTCTCACTCATTAAAATTCAATTTTCATATTTCGACCCATATTAAACTGGGTCAATCCACGGATCGTATTGGCTCGGCCCCAAAACCAACCCACGGTGCATGTATCGTATTTTGATTTTTTTAAAAAAAAATAAAGTACAATCGTGAATTTTAACGTAAGAGACTAATAATTTTTATGTTTTCTATCACATTTTATTGGGTCGACCAATGGATCAAACTGGATCGACCCATGAATAGAGCTGGGTCAATCCATTAACCGGGTCACAATAAGCGGGCGAATTTTTTATTATTATTTTTTTTGGTTCAAATAAAACTTATACCCGTATTTTCAAACTCATTGAACTTCAAATTTTCATGTTTCAAGCAATAGTTAACTGGGTCGAGTTGGGTCGACCCAGTAACCAGGTCACGATACATGGGTCTAATTTTGATTTTTTTTGTTAAATAAAGTACAAACATGAATTTTAATATAGGAGAATAATAAAATTTATGTTTCACCAATATCTGGGTCACATTTGAATTTTTGTTTAAATAAAATACACACCTGTAGTTTCCAACTTATTGGACTCATAATATTCATATTGGTGTGCAAGAATTAATTTATTATTTCATTTTATTTAGTTGGGCTCATATTTATTACATTAGTAACATATGTATTTATGTTAAAAAGTCCACTAAATGTATTTATAGATATCCACGGGTATGTATTCATGGATATCTATGGATATCCATGGACACCTACGGGGTATTTAATACCTATCCATTTAAGTCCATTAAATTTAATAGATATGGATGGATATTTACCTATTAAGCTAGTAATCATTAAAAACTAATCTCAAGTAGTCCAAATCCGCCCATTTGCCGGCTTGAATCATTACCCTTCTTTTCCCGAGCTTTCTCTTTCTATCGATTTGTCGCCGTCTTTGGTTGTCCTCCATCATTTAGAGTTTTGGTGATAGGCGATGGAGCGGTAATTATCTCGCGAGTACTATTCTGGTTCACTGGCACTGGAACGGTAATTTTTGTATTAGTGTTATTAATACGGTCGTCTATGGCCAATGGTAGAGCAATATGTGTGCCGTTCATAATTTGTTTACTCCCATCTGATGGAGCGGCAATTCTCTCAGTAGATGAGACAACTTGTTGTGACGAAGAAGGTAATTGCGGGAAAAGACTCCTGATGACCTTCATCAATTACACTTCGTCCTTGAGTGATGCTGATCTCAAAAGATCATCAATGTCAACATTGTTGAACGACTTAAGAAGATACACACCGAAGGTGTACTCTTCCAAGTTCAAATTGTTATTATCAGGTGACATAACTGCAAAATGAAATAAGAAAACAAAGTCAATCATCAAAACGAGAAAAAAAAAACTTGAAATTCTTTTTAAGATTTGATTTAAACTATTTGAAGAAAACATAAATCAATTAATCTTCACTCAAACAGCAAATCAAATCTTTTTAATTTAGATATGCAAAATCATAATTAAATGTAATAAAACCCACAAATATAAACCTATAAAAACTTATAGTGTATGAAAACAAAACCCACAGTGAGAATTAACTATATCATTTAAAATAAATCAAGGAAATATGGCCAAACTTACAGGAAATAGGCAAATTGAGCGAGTTTTTGACATAATGAAGCACGTCACTTGCCCAAATTCCCTCAACCCTCTGGGCATTTGTTATGACCACCTTGATTGAATCTCGGTTTGCACATATAATGCTTAGAGCTTCCAGTGGCCTCCCACCATTCATCAACACTGAAAAAGAATAAATGAAAATGTAGCAAGTAAAATTGGAGGTCATTTCTCACGAATTTGGGCATGTGCGTGATTTCTTTCTTGACCCCCAGGAGAACAAAAAATAATAAGTAACACACACCAAAAAAAAAAAAAAAGACGAAAGAAATAAATTCGTATGTAACTAAATGAAAGGGATAGATAATGGATTTATGGACATGATCTATGTATGATTTATTTTGTTTGTGAAGGAGGATTTTGTGAATGAAACACACGCACAGTACCTTCATAAGTACAACTTTGTAGCATTTCTGCCACCAAAGTTGAGCACAAGATATCCTCATTCACTTCAAAGATGCAAATTCCCTCAGCTGAAGCCATTTGGATTTTGCAAACCCCGAATATTCTAACTCGATTTCTCAGGTTGAGATCTTGATGATATTTTTTTTTTTCTCTCTCAAACGTTTTTAATCGTATAATTTTTGTTGCCTTAATTTGGATAAATTAAGGTGGTCGGATTTATTGAAATATGTATACCAGGGGAACGTACGTGGTAACTAGTAATGGGTAAGAAGAACTCGGATAAAGGATACTTATGCACCTAACCAAAGTTTAATTATAAAGGATACTTATGCACTAACCAAAGTTTAATTAAAAAAATTAATCCATTGGTACCTCATATTTTCAAGTGTTCTTTTTGTCCTGATATTGCACGGAGAGTAATAGTAAGCCTTAGTTTTTGTTTCAATTTAATCAAATACAAGTGATACGACCCTATGGAAAAGAAAAAAAAAAACCATTAACGAAATGATGAATCAACCATTCAATTGAAAAGTTAATAATTTAGGCCGAAAACATTTCAATACAAAACATCCTTTTACAAAAGTAAAATTAATAGAATATTTGGTGAAATTCTGTCGTTACATGCGTTATTTTGTGACCTCAGCATAAATTGGCCAACCAAATTGGCAGTGAAAATTAATTAAAAAAAACATGAAAAGCTTCGAAATGGGCAAACAAGCGTGAACCTTATAGTTTTGATTTCTTTGGGCTCTTTAATCATAATATTCGCAATGATGCATGAAAATAATTATCAATTACGTAGATACTAACAAATTATTTGGTTCCATTTCTGACTTAAAATTTGAAATTTGAACATTGTGATTCATAATTAAACACAGAAAACCGGGAATGAAATTAAAAATGTAATATTTGTTCACAGTTTAATTTTCAAGTAATATTGTTATTACTTTTGTTTCAAGAACACGTAAATATTATCGTGCATTTATTTATCGGTTGTTAATATGAAGATAATGTACGTCATAAAAGTAATTAAAAAAAAACCCCGAAAAAGAGCACTTAAGTAGCTTATAACTGTGTGAATGTAAACTTTTTGCTCTTACGATGCAATAATTCTTTAATTTTCAATTTTGGTCCATCAAACAAAGGTACAACGTTTTGTTAACTTTCAATTTTTTTATATCCTTTTTATTTTTGCTTAAATTGACCGCTGATTTTCACCTTTTATGTTATTTGTAAAACTCTTAGTAGAAGCTAATTGTGTCGGTCTAAGATAATAAAAATGTTATTTAGACATCATGGGCAAATACTTTTTAATTACAGAAATTTTTTTTATGAAATTAAATATCCATGGGGATGAGTAATCACATAATATTACATGTGTCACATTTGCGCATAATATAATAAAATAAGTCCAAATTTTATATGCTATATGACAGTACGATATTAGATATGCCACCTTGCATAAGATAATAAAATAAATTTAAACTGTATATGTTAAGCCAGGATAATTTAAACTTATGCGCAAAAGGTAAAAAAATGAGTTTTAAACTTTATATGTTAAGGTGGTGCAATTACTCGATATTAATGGTACTAGATTCCCATAATGCAATATTAGACAAAACGCACTTTTGATCCACTAACTATTGCATCAATTACTTTACCTCTTTCATTTACTGTTTTCTTCCTGCGTCAATAATAGTAAAATTGAAATTCCCAATCTAGAAGTGAAGAGACGTAGAGTGACCTAACCACCACGACACAGGACATGGCTTAGTTCCAGACGGATAAGTCAAGAATCTAACTGGAGAATGATGATATGGAAGAGTGGTTGAAGAAACGGAATAAGACAAATTTAGTGGGTTCGAGGAATAAGGCTAAAATTCTTGAACTCGAGTGGTTCAAATTTGAGACATTTTAGCTGGTTTCCTTCTAAACCACTTCTTTGGTCAATTAAATTCCAAGATTTGGTTTTTCAGTTTCTGTTTTTTTTCCTTTTTTTTTTTTAAATATTTTCGTTTGGCATCTTCGGAACTACTTCTATGTGATCTTACGTTATCTGATCTCTCTTCTATATCTTTTGGAGGATTTTACAAATTCCTAAGCATCAGCATGATGAATTATAAAAAAAAAAAAAAAAAAGGAAAAGGAAAAAATGATCGGTTTCTGGCAGGACAACTTTTAGTTTTATTACTTTCCTCCTTGTTTCGGTGGGATTATTTGAAGGATCACTTTTTGCCAATTCTACTTAATCCCTTTTAATTAACAAACAGTTGGACCTAATGATAAAGAGTTTTATTTTCTGAATATTCATGTTCAACAAATATTGTTTTTTATCTTGAGCCCTTGATAGAATACACAATCTCAATGGGGAGGAGATCAAGGTGGATGAAAAAGAATTTTGGTACAAATTCGAGTCAATTTTAACAGTGGTTTTTTTTTTTTTTTGAGGATTAATGTTACCTAAAAGGTGACATTCCTTTAGCTACACTACTGGGAACTAGACCATCAGAAAAGATAAAGTCCAATAATATGGAACACATTATAAAGCTGGGAATCCCCGGTTGACATTCTCATACTAGATCATCAGTTCCACTTATTTATCTCGTACTTTCCCATCTGATGATCCCATTTTATTTTATTCTGTTTTGGAAAAGTGACTTTGCAAATTAGTAAGCATATGACACGCATAGATTTGGTGCTTCTAATTTCTGTTGATTCACTTCATACTTTCTTGCGCGAAACAGAGAATATATCTTTTGGGAAAGAATGGAAAATTTTAGTATGATTCAATATGTCTTACAAGTAGCACTATACATAAAACACAAGATGCATATATCTTCCTCAACAGGACTTCAAAAGGGTACTTTCAGAACACCAACGAACATAAAATGTAAGGGAAAGATCGGAGAAGAAAAAAAAAAGAAAAAGAGCACAAGTCAAGCGGATGCACACGCTCGTTCCCTAGACTACTTTGTACAATTACGATGGACGACAATACTCATAAATGATGATGACTTTGTTCTAGGATGATGACAATGTGGCGCTTTTTTGCCGCAAAGATACAGGCTGCATGCTATTATTAACACTTACGTAGCATACATTTCTCTCTCTCTCTTTTGTTTTTGTTTTTTTTTGGGTGATTACAAACTATCCCTTAATCGTTACGTTTTCTGTTTTCTATGATATTTTCTACAAACTAAAACTAATTTTATTGGTACATTACGAGAAAGACCATAAAGAGGTACTCCCTCAAATGATTTTTATCTTAAGTTGGGAAGTATGTTTCAAATCAACGACGGAACCAACCCCAAATATTTATGAGGTCGAATACATATATAATTTTTTTAAAAAAAATATTTTAAAAATTGCAAGGTAATTTTTTTAAAAAAATTTTGCCGACCACAGGGTTGGCCGACCACCCTTCGCTCCCCCTTGGTTCCGTCCCTGTTTCAAATGATTTAAGAGGCTAAGTGTTACCAATAAAAAAAGAGTGAAAAAGGATTCGAGAATAAGAGTTTGCAGCAGAATAAAGTTCAATACATGGTGGTGAAAAAAAAAAAAATTGTTTCCGGTTTGTATTATTAGATATTTTGATTTGTTATAAGTTTCGTTTAGTATATTCTTATAATAAAAAATAAACCTTAACAATATTTCATTATAATGGGATGAACATAATAAATTTGCAAATACATTTTTAAAATTTCATTTTCAATTAAAAAAATATAATAAATAAAATTTAGCAAAATGACTTATAACAAAAACATCAGAGTGCAATACGTGGTCATATTTTTAATTCACCCCATAATTGGAAAACACTTTGGTTAGTCACGTTCTCATATCCTCTTCATCATGGAAGGCATGTTAACCCTCATTAACTTTAGAAACCAGATTCACCAAGTCATGATAACAGTACGCAGTATGAACAGCTGAATTGCTTCGATCATTCAGCCAAGAGAAATCTGCAGTGGAAAATCAGTTTATACGTCTGAAGAACGGACCATCCTTGGCAAGATATGAACAGCAACAACTTCCATTTCCGGCGGCGGATTCAAAACCCGTATCTTCGCCGGGTTATCCACCACATCAACCACCGCAATATGCCGACCGCCGCCACAAACCGCACAAACTCTTCCCCTTCCGGCCGCTATCTGTTCAACCCCTTTCAAATACTCCGACCCAATAACTTCCTCCCAACGATCATCCTCCAAAACATACCGACTCAACACTCCGGTCGTCTCATCCACCACATACATAACCCCATTATCGTCGTCCGCCGCCGCCGGCCCGTTCCATCCGCCGCGCATCCCCTCCGGCATCACCTCCCACCGGTCCGCGACTACATCGTAAGTCGCCGCTTCTTTGACCGCGTTCCCTTTGACGTTGACTATACAGAGCTTACCGTTATACCCCACGGCTTCCACGGCTTCCCGGCTGTATCTCCCGTCTTTAAACGCCGTCATCTTTTCCCACATCCACTCGGTTTCCTTCTTTTTCATATCCCATTTCTCCACCGACCTCGCCACGTCACCATTGTAGTTCGACCCGAACCCGGACACGACGTAAACCGACCCGCGCGCCTGACCCGTTATGCACCACCGGCGTGGGTTGGCCAACGGAGGGCCGAAGGACCACTTGCCGGATAAAGGGTCGAAGACCAACGGCGCCTGAATCGCCGGGAGGAAGTTTTGGTCAGTGGCCGCCAGGAGAGCTAATCGGTTCGAAACGGTGACGGATTGGATCGGGAGGATTCTGGAGATGAAAGACGGGTGGCGATGGAGGAGTTTCACCGGAGGATCGGAGATTGGTGGGGCCGGGAGAGATTCCCATCTCGAAGCAATTGGGTCAAAGCAGAAGAAGAAATCGGCGGATGAATTTGAAGCTGATGAGGTTGAAGAGGAAAGAAGCGCGTACAGAGAGAAAAATGGCGGGAAGTTTGGAGAATAAATAATTCGGCGCCATGAATTTGAAACTCTGTAAAGGATAGAAGGGTGGAGATTTGCAAGGATTAGCTGGGCTAAGTGATTTGGTAAGCCTGGAATCAATACCAATTCTTCATCATCATCTTTACATGTTTTTTGCTCTTTGCAGAGCTCCATAAATTGAAGATTCTAAAGAAGAATGGGTTAGAGAAAATTACGTAGAGGAAAGAGGATTATATATCATTATTGTTGTTTGTGATAATGAGGCGGTTCTTCTGAGTCGGCATGAAAGATTTTTTGTTTTATTTTATTTTATTTTTTTGGATGTATTATGGAGTAAAACGCAAGCATGCAACCACTCCAAGAACAAAAAGAGATACGAAAAAGGCAGAGGAATAATTGGACCAATTGCTTGTTTGCTTTTTATTTTTTTTGCTTTGTGTGAAGATTAATATTAACTTTTAGCTTACACCTTTTTGGGGGTTAGTAAAAAAGTGGAGTAGAGCTAGCAGAAAAGCTAAGAAATGGACAAGAGAATTAGTTTCAACTTTTAAGGTGTTGCTGCCATGAGAGCACACGCTCACATGAACATGATCCTACACTACTTTTCACTTTTATTGTGACTTAAAAAGAAAGTTTGCTCACTAGTCTATTTTTAGAATTTTCTGCTTCTTTTTATTTTTTTTTTCCTCTTGATGAGACTGCTCATTATTTGGAGCTAATGTAACTCGATTATTTAAAGTCTTTGAAAGTTTAAAGTTTAAACTTGCCATCTTGTTCTTTAAAGTCTTTGAAAGAGATTCATTTTGGCTTTTTTTTTCCCTTCAAAATCGGCAAAGTTTAAATATTAAATAACAACGTTTCTATAATATACTACTTCTACAATTTTACAATGGATTATAGTTCATTTTTTTTCTAATTTATATCAATACACACGATTCTTTTAATCATGAAATGACACTACTAATTTCAAGACGGTGAAGTAGTATATATGTATAAAACAATGGTTTAACCGGTGTCTATCATCGACATGTTCTTTAGGAAACTAAATATATATTCTAATCAAATGGAAAAGAAAGAAAGTTTGGATTGTCAGTTCTGCAAAAGTTTAAACGGGTAGATGTTACACGCACGCGGCCTGCTACATATCTGTTTCTTGGATTTGGTGTTTCCTCTTTTAATTGATGGAAGCAGTATTGCACTGTGTTATATGCTCAATGTGAACTGGCAAACGAATGGTATGGTTGGTGTAAGCAATTTCAAAGCAGAGAGTATATCAAAATCAAATGTGACACAATGCATTTGAGAAATGGGTTTGATTGTGATTGATATAACAAAATAAAATTTATCAGTAAAAGAAAACCCCGCAATGAATAATATAACATAACACCCACCCCCGCGCAATGAATAATATAAATAATATAGATAGTTTGGATTCATAATTGTAAGAATTAATTTTTCTTTTAATTCTTTTCTTTGTTTCTCATAAAAAATTGCTTGTTTTTTTTTTTTTTTGGCGGGACCTGCCACTTTCCTGATAGCTGTTTTAAATAGAGAAAGAATTTTTAAAAAATTAGAAGAAAAAAAGAAACTATCTATAAATAGACGATAGAGTATTAGCTAACACGCTACACATATCTTAATTTTATTGTTTTCTTAGTTCGACTGCATCAAGAGACTAATAAACACCCATCATTTCACATGGGATGTTATATGGGCTTAATTAGTAGGGTATAGCTAATGACCTTGTAATGGTATATATATATAAAAAAAAGGAACTCTTATGTGTTATGAAAACAATATTAATTTATCACATTTACTAAAATATATATATATATATATATATGGATAAAGCAATATTTACTTTTTTTGCAGCACCTATTGATATTTTAAATGTACCTAGACCATTATAATGGAGATAAAGCTTACTAGGGAATGGAGGAGTACTCTGTCTCGCATGTGCTTTTTGTTTGGTGTGTCCGATCTTCTGTGACCTATAATGATAGGCACTCCAATCTGCTTAACCAAGCTGCTAATCAGTTACCTATTTTTCACGTTCGCGGTAAAACTAAATCACATCAACATCGCAGTTAAAGGCACAACACACTAACCAACAGGGCACGATTCGATTCCTAACAGTACTTAAGAAATCCAATGTCATGAATGATGAAGAGGTCAAAGTCTCCTTACTAGAGAGCTACGTTGTGGTTTTTGTTGTTGGTACATTTATTCTACTTATCAGTTCATTTTGGCGCTTCCCACAGAAATCAACAGGCGTGTGTACAAGATTTTCCGCTTCATCGATATTCTTCTAATATTCAGTAGCGGAGCAAAAAAATAAATATAGAATATAAAATATGAAAAAGAATTACTAATGAATCAAAAATTAATATAAAGGATGCAAAGATTATACAATTCATATTTTTCTATTAAACTTTAAAATACTTTTATTAAATAAAATAATTGTGTAAGTGCGATCGCACCCCTCCGTTCTCTAGCTCCGCCACTGCTTGTACTTTAAATTGATAGACGGAAGCAACCTTTTGGCTCACCTCAGTCATTCATTTTCATTGAATTTTGTGCAAAAACCAAACAGTTTAATTAGATGGTGTCACACGTTGCAGAAGCGAACAAACAAAGCTACCATATATAAAGGACTATGTGAGCCCATTGCATGACATTTTATGTAACTATTTAATTCTTTTTTCCCCTTAGCTAGAAATTGTTATTTCTTCAGAGGTATAGGATTAAATCATAATGAGTACAATCAGAAAATTTTAAAAGTTTTTTTAATTAAACACCTGGTATAAAAATTTTAGTTATTCTACACGTACCTGGTGTCAATTCATACTTTAACTAAAAAATTAATTGTACATTTATTCTTTACTTCTAGTTCCCCTTGGATGTCATATTTCATATATAGCTCCAAAACTTGCATCTTCCTTTCAATTGAGGAAATGAAACATACTGCTATTTCAGTAAGCTCCGATCCAATGACGCCCTTTAAACTTTGTTATCAAGAGTGAACCACAAAATAGGTTATTATACAATTGGAGTATTGTATCCTAGGTTTAAAAGACCCTTTTACAACCACAGGTGGGTTTACTAAACAAAAAAAAAACAACATATGTTACAAGTCATTCTGTTAGTTTTTATCGTTAAGTAGTAAACGGATGACCATAATTTACTTTCAAGGCATATGTTTTTTGCCAAGGGCATTTTTGTCACTTTGTTAGTCCATCAAAGGGCCCTAAACGGCGGTAGCAAAAACGAAATGGATGATAACAAGTCGAAAGAATTGGCTGAGAAGTACAAGCACACTTAAGAAAAATGGGAAGCTGATGCCAGACATTAATTGTTAACTTGATGGCAATCACGGTCTGTTATGGTCACAAGGTCAAGGCGGAATTAGATAAAGTCAAAAAGTTGGAGAAGAAAAGAAGCAGATATTAATAAAATGTCATGGGCATCTATCTACTTGCTGTTAAAATGGTTCGGTTTAATTTGTTCCTTTTCTTTAGAGAGGGCGGAACTCATGTTATTTCATCGTAAGAACGACTTTATATATGTGTCTTTAAATTGATATCGATGGTTCTTTTTTCCCCTTTTAATTTTGGATAATAAGCAGACATGTTCCATTTGCTAATGTTGCACTAAAAATTTTAGAATCAATCATGTTACAAAAAAAAAAAAAAAAATCGATCAATTAATTCGATATTTATTTTGTCCAGAAAAGAAAAAAACTCTATAGGACTTGCTTGAAAATTAGTTCGTGGAAGAAAATGTCCTGGGTTGCATCACAACAAAGATCTCTAATCTACACTAGCGTATTTTGTTTGTGGACTAATAGTTAGAAAAAAAAAAAAAAGGAAAGGGAAAGGCCTACGTGGTAACATGTCGTTTGCTATCATGTACGAGGCATCCTCTTTGTCTACCCAAACATATACAGTTGAAAGCATGTGCAAATTGAGGTGTATAGGAGTGTGTAAAATTGGACGATTTTGCCCTGGCTATGTGCCAAATTGGTTGGCCGTTTTTGCTGGTAGGGTATGTAAATAGGGTCAATAGTTAGTGGTTGACCCGGAAAGTTCATCGAGTCGGGGTGGGGAATGAAGTGTGTGCCGAAAAGGTGTTGATTTATGTGTGATTGTTGGTGGATTTCCAATTTTAACATTGATGGATAGATTTATTACCGGGGTAGGGGTTGGTTTCGGGTGTAATTGGGCCTTGAATTTGGATATTTTGGGTAGATCTAGGAAAAATTACAAATGTTTTCAATTATAATTATTTTTTTATCCCCCTCAATGTTTTGAACTGTTGTTAATTATGTAGTTTTTTGCCGATGGAGGTTTACTATGTTAGCATCATCTTGCCTTGCTTGCCTCCCTCCACCGGCGCATTACAATGTTGCTCGTCGGATCTCTTAGCCATCATCATGCCTCCTCTCCTGAAATGCGGCTGCAGGGTAATATTTCTATCTAAGTTATATATTGCACCATTTTGGAGCCCTATTTTTTTTGGTCAAAGAGATGTGCTGCTCGAGATTGGTAAAGACCAATACTTGGTTTGAGTGATGATTTTATTTTTCTCTTTTTTGTTTAGTTCTGGATTGATTATGTAAATGAAGAAATTGGACCAAACGGGGTTGGAAACTCAGATCTGGACTAGAGAAACGCAAATAAAGCATAGGCAACAATTTCTAGATGTCAAGGAATTGAAAGCCAAATTGCCCATTGGAAGTTCCGTAGAGGGGAAGAATGCTCAGGTAATTCTCCTACCTTCTCAATATAAATTTAATTTTTCCGTTTCCCTTTCTTGATTGATTATTAATTTGTTAGATTGGTTAAAAGATTAATCCAAGTTGGAAAATAGCTTTTATTTCAGCAGCTCCAAAAAAATACAGAAAATTAATTGAAGCAAACAATATTAAGATCCTCCGGGTTACTGTAAATATGTTTTTTAGATGGGGAAAGATTACGACTAGCATCATCTAATGCAAAGATGAGCCTGAATGCTTAGGACCATTTCTTAATGCTTTTAATATAGTATGATAGTAGTTATATTGAGGAAAGCATTAGTTTTGGTGTAACTGCAGTCTCGGGCAAGATTATCGTTATTGTGGTTATTCCACTCAACTGAATATTGCAACATTTTTCATTATTCCTTTTTCCATTTTTATGCCACTGACTAGTCTCTGATTCTCCTAATTATATTATCTCTAATTTGAAAAACATCTTGACTCTTGATATATACATGCAATTTGAGTAGCATGA